TGTGTGTGTGTGTGTGTGTGTGTGTGTGTGTGTGTGTGTGTGTGTGTACATTTTATGAATAAAACTATGTGTGCGTGAGAAACACTGATGAAAGAGACAAACACATCACACATGTGTGACTCACAAAGCCTTTGGGTTTTAGAAAAGTGAAAGTAACAAAAAGCTGAGATGATGGTGAACATGTTAACTTCTCAGCTTGGTTTCTTTTGTGGCACTTTTCTTTCATGCCGGTGATTTTTTATTTTTTTTATTTTAAAAACTTTTCTTTTATCTGTTTAAATAAGCTGCCGTCCTTTCATTAAATATTCAGAGGCAGAACAGAACTCAACAGGACCTTATAAAACTGAACATGAATAGATGTGTACATTGTTATAAGGGCTCTCTGATGCAAGAAATGTGACACAACATTTAGTGGATTTTCAGTACTGCTTTGAGCTGGGCGGGTAGCACACATTCAAAAACTGGTCTGAACCTGTTTGCTGCTAAATGAATGACTATGGTTTCCATGGGAGGGTTTGGTAAGATTAGCCAGACTCAACTAAGCAGTTATTAATCACAGAGGAACCAAAACAGTCGCCTAAGGGCAGGAGAAAATATTCAAGAGCTGTTGGGATGCTTTTTATGTTCAGCTGAATCGGCAGATCTATATTTATAATTCAATGCAATATTATCAAGGAAATGACACAGGCAGACAGATCCACAGAAAAATATCTTAAAATCTTTCGAAAATGGTTCCTTTTTTTTCCTACTAACATTCGGATCAATTTACTACATAACCCTGTCAAGATACTGCAGTCAAAGTATTACAGTTAATCAGTAAGAACACCCCTGGGATATTAAAAAGAAGACAACTAAAAAAAAGTTATCAAAATCTTCATCCACAAAGGGAAAATATGTTTTTGGACATTACTAGATAATGAAAACATCTGTAAAGGGCAGAACAGGTTTTGCAGTGAGGGAGAGCCAGTGCATCTGAAGCTGGATGTCCTCTGACAGTGAAACAAAAACTGCACATGGAACTTTTTACTTATTTCTTGAGGCAGCTCTGTCCTTTTGGCTGGCTAGCTATAAAGTAAAATTAGCAAACTATGATAATAAACTGAAACTTGAAATAACATTTTCCAGTGATTGGTTATGGGGCACCAAAAATTCTAAAGAAAGAAGCTCATAACATCATTATCATTCTGCTGCCATTGTCATGAAACACAGAGAAGAAAAAACACATGTTTAAAAACTGGAATGATAATTTTCACATTTTGAAATGACATTACTGTTTTCTCCTCCTAAGCCATTTTCTTATGTATTGGGATGTATAAACCAACTGCAACAACTTAACTGGTAAAAACAGAAAAGTGCAGCTTTACTCTTTTCTGCTGGGTGGCCCCTGGATCTAATTTCTCTGTGACTTACAAAGGCCTCAGGTCTTTGTGGATATTTATAAAAAAGGAGCTCTACTGGTTCATTTCATCTGAGTTCTCCTCAGGCACTCCTGTTCCTATCCCACCCTGCAGTAGTTCAAAGGGAGAAATAAAAAACGACCTGATCTGTCAACGGGAGCATTAGGTTTTTGTTGCAGTTCAGTGTGATTTTCATCTTTGTTTCTCAACAGTTAAAGACATGCTGATAAAAAAGGAAGAGATCATTTGAATGTCATGCACTACACAGCACTGCGAGGAACATTTCTAGGTCTTAAGATTCAGAGCCCTGAGCAGACTTCCTTTCTTACAGCTAGCACAGTACAAATCTCTCAGAAACAAGGGTGTCTGAGTGATCTGTCAAAAGCAAATGTCAATCTTTTTTGTCATCCACACACAGGGTTCTCGCTAGCAAAACTCCCCGAGGGCAGCTGAATCTCAGCCCACCGCTTTCTTTCTCTCATCCTGCAGCTATACCGCCACCCAAGCCAGGGAGGAAGTGTCACATCAAGCCGCTGTGCTTCTGACAAGGGGGGAAAAAACACACCCTTTACACAAACAAACTGACATGCAGACACACACATGCAGAACATGCCCTTGCAGATTCCCATAAATATCCTACAAGATGCAATTTTCCCCCCACAAGCTACGAAACCCTGCCTCTGCTTCTTCAGTCGCCCTGTCAGACAGGTGCCCACGCAGCTGCCCATCAGCATCCTTCAGCACAGCAGCTTGTCTGTCCAGTGACAACATGCTCTGTCCTTCACTCCCCGTTCTCTCTATACAGTCGGATAATGCAGCGAGCCACCTATAGCCACGCTACCCACTGTGACAAAAGCACGGAGCTTTAAAGTCGGATTTTTCACACTAAGCAGTAAGCTGAGGTCGAGTTTAAATTTCTCAGCTTAAAAAAATATATTGGATAGGCAAAAACATCACAAGGCTACAGTCCCTGCTGTATCCCAAGTCTACAGAGTACACAACCGTCAGACCATAGAGGAAAGTATGTGTGGGTGGAGGGGTGGCAGGACGGGGAGAGGGGTGTCTGTATATAAGATGAAAAAGCCCTATAAACATTTAAATGTTTGCAATCACCATCTGGCATGTCTAGATAGTCTTCACATTCTGGTGCACTGCAGTGTCAAAACCGAAATGCACAGAGGATGTGCTCCCATAAATATTTTGATTTAGCTCAATCACACAGGGTACACACAGGCACAACATGCTTGGACCTGCAACTTGCATTGCCCATCTGATTAACACTCCAAAATGTATTTTTAGACTGGGGAGCATAAATGCAGCTGGACTTTAAAAAAAAAAAAAATCTAAAAGGTTGCTGGTGTGAAATAAATAAGAGCACTCCCAGCAGTAGACATAAAGATACGAAGCACTGTGTTGATCTTTTCTTTTTCTCCCCCCCCTCCCCAAATCAGGCAGCTATTCAGGTCTCTGGTGGGGCCCTCCAGTTTGCTTACACAAGCAAAAGCTTTTAGTGGCATCTGCAGCTGCATTCATGCTTTACAGGTACGCTGCTGGCTCTTCACACAGCTGCCTCTGGCGCAGCAGATCTGACTCCAGGTGCGCCTTCCCCCTCCACACTTCCTCAACACCTTTGCTTCTTCGGGTACTGCTCCCGGCAATACAAACACAGATCATGGCTGATAACCACCCCAAGAGATGCGCCTTACAGTCTCTCTAACAATCACTAAGTGCACGGGTGGCCACGGGTGGTGCTTTTCACCCACCGAGCAGTTCCCACTCCCATACCTCACCTTTGCTTCCCAGGACTGTAAAACCATTAATGCAACACCTCAAAGCTGCCAGACAACCTCCTACTCAAACCTTTTCCACTTATGCCGCCTATCAGAAACAGCTTTATGTTTTCCTTCCTCTGTCAGCGGGTTGTAAGAGAACTGTAGAGACGTACTCAACGGCACCATCTTTATTCTTTCAAATGGGATCAAAGACTAACTGGGATAATTCCTCGAAGCTCCAGGTTTTATCTTCTGAGCGGTGCTGAGTGACAAGAAGAAGCTGCATTTTATCCCATGCTCTGTCAGTGTTCTTCCCCATCTAGCATTGTACTGCTTGATTGTGCTCTTATGAGTCAGAGAACCGCACCTGCGCCCATGTGTTAAGTACTGACAAATAAAAGCCCAGCGTCCATTTACACAACAAAGAGATGTAACCCATGAGGCAACCATTCTGTGCCTCCCTCCCTCCGTCTGACAAGACCTCAAATATATCACTTAGTTAAGAAGAAGGCAGCTCGTGTTCGTGCCTCTGCCGGGGACTTCGCCTCTCCCTCACGCTCTGACAAACTTCTTTTCAAACACAAATCCAGAAACAAAACACATGCCACCCTTTTATGTTCACTGGCCTGTTCCATATTTAATTTCAGAGCAACAGCAGTAGAAGTGAAGATTATCAAAGTTCTGAAAGGCAAATCCAGTCTCAGACTCCCTCATGAAAAAAAACAGGAAAATAAAGCCTCTCATTGTTTAAGGAGACAAAATGTGGATTCTGGTGAACCAGTTGCTTCTCATTAAAAAATAAGAGGAAAAAAAAACATTATCTCCTGGAAGTTCTAGGAAGTTAAGCTTTTTAATGGAAAAAAAAAACCTTTACCAATCCACCAGGGTTTTAACAATGAACATCTGACTTACTGATTTATGCATATTAATGAACTCCAACACTCCCTGTCTATGTGAATACAAGCTGAGCACCACACTTCTCTGCATCCTAATGGTTTCTGCTCCACCGGGATCATTACCAATAGAAATTTTAGATATTCTCTGCTATTAATCTCTGTCTGTCCTCCTGCTCAGCCACGTAATGACTAATTAAACATCAAAAGAGCAGAGCTGGGGATCCGCTCTGACAGCCTCTCTTTCTCCCTGGAGAGGCTGTGAGGAGACTAGACTGTGACAGGGCAGCACTGAAAATCAATCACCCCAAGGTCCGCGCACACACACACACGCACACACACACACAAGCATGTACACGCACACACGAAACAAAAAAAAACGAAAGAAAGTACCCCACAGACCTTTGCATGCCAAGATTAAATTTCAAGAATGCGCACAACAAACATCACAGCATCACAAACCAACAGGCACCAGGGTTGTCACTACTGGAACAAAAAAAAAACGAATTTCCATCAAGGAAGTGCTGTAATGATGTCGGGAGCGGTCTTTGTGTGCACACATGGAAAGGGAGAGCGGTAAAGAAGTGTGTGTGTTTGTAAGGGTAAGCTCACTGTGAAATCTATTTATATGAGAGGTAGATGATCTTCCACTCACAGATGAAGGCAGGCCAGGAGGGACCTTGCGAACCTTTTTTGTTTGTAGAGGATCTGTGAGGAGATGAAAGCACACTGACTCATTCAAAAGCAAAAAAGAGGCGACAGCAAACAAGACAGAACTCCCCAACAAAAACCATGATGTGCTGTGAGTGAAACATCATCAGGGCACAACAAAAGACAAACACGGCAGATAACTAATCATATTCTGACGTTAGACACTAGAGTCATTTGGCAAACTTTTCTGAAAAGGAGGTAATTTTGATATATTATAATCCTGACTGGTAGTCAGATCAATGAATTCATTCACCCCCAAAGCAGAGAGTACTGCTAAATATTTCATGACTTACTTATCTGTTGGTTAGCAGTGCAGTAAGAGGAGTCATTTACATTGTCTGAAACCTGACCTACTTAGGAAGCACTATGTTAGCTTTACTGTATAATATGATTTTTTCCCTTCATACACAAACATATTTTTATATACACACATCTCGTTTAATGATTGAGACGTTACTGACCAATGGGAGGGGGATCTTGTAGGGAACGTCTTCTGGGGTTGGCTGCGTTGAAGGAGTAGAAAGGAGTAGAGGCCTTTCCCGATGTAGTCCCTGGACTTGGACTCGCCAACGCAATGTCCGGCCTTAGAGAGGACTGAAAGATTTTTTTTTTTTTATTGCTTATAACTTCTTTGATTCTAGTAAAATTGTATAGAAATTAGTGTTTACTTCACTGGTTTGTAGTAAACACAATATAACACAAAATTTCAAGCCTTATCTATCTTTAGAATATATTATCTATCTTTAGAATATGTATCTTTAGAATAATTAAATCTACATTTGAGGATCACTGTCTGAACTAATAGTTCAGTCTCCACTAGTAGAACTTTATACAAGGAAACATAAATACAGTGTAAACATAAAAATACAGAAATACACAATGCAAGTGTTTTTATTAATCAACTCTGATGAGGTTATGATATGCTTTGGATCTGACCATTTCAAAGTAAGTTGTAACAAGCTTTGGTACTAGGGCACTGCATCTGTTTTAAAAATCTTTTAACATGACTGTTGTGTCCGCTTTAGCTGATACATCATGAATAACTCCTATAAACTGGGAGCCATTCGCATCGTCCTGCCACCAATGTCTTTTTTACCTCTGCAGTCCAAACTAACTGGGTTAAACGGCCAATTAAGAGCTTGGTCCAATTAGAGTAATCGGCTATAGAGAGCAAGCATCATGTGAGTACAACTCAGGGTGGTGTGTAGTAGTTGACTGGAAAACTGCCCATTCGTGACCTGTTGGATTTCCCTCTGCAAGCTGAGGATTGACACAGTAACCACTTAAACCTTTCCTACAGTGCAACCTTTAATAAGCTCAATTCAGATACGAAAATAAACTCAATTCTGTGGAAATATCTTAGGACAAATACAGACAGCACATATTAAATGTGGGTTTTAAAAAAACTGAGTGAAATCCTGTGACCTAAAATGTAGGTCATGGAAAACAGCAAAGAGAGAAATCAGGTCCTGTAAAATGACAGCCTGTCAATGTTGCTGCAGCATACACACAGTTCAACAAAACAGACCCCCTTCTGCTGCTGCCTTTGTTCAAAGATACTGCATCCCCGACATAAATCTGGGTCTAGTCTCCTTAATGTAGTTACACTCGTGCAGAAGGGAACAACATGTAAATCTGAATGCGTGTGATTGTCTCTGTGAGCTCTTCTGATTTAAACCTTTTCAGTGCAATCATTTGGTGAGGACTGCTGCCCTTCACAGAGAAGAGGGAGCAAGAGGGCTAGGAATAAAACTCTTGCAGCTTGTGTTCTTGAGAGCATGCTGAATGTTAAAAAAACCCCACAAAGAATCTTATTTTTAATTACAACATGTATGTAAAATCATAAAGTGGCAGGCAGAACTCAGTAAAAGAAGAGGTCTGAATCCAAATCCACAGAAGGTTTTATGTTATATGTCTTTATTGATTCTGCTTGTTCAGATTTGGAAAAAAGAACCTTTCTGTGTTGCTGTTTGTGTTTTTTAACTTGATTATGCCTTGTCTTATCACAGTAGAGCAAAAACTTTGAGGCACTAAGCTGACTTTCTTTCATACAAGCAGAATGAAAATCTGAAATTAACAACAGATAAGACTTAATTATTTTTTAGTTGAACCCTTTTAAGCTTTTGTTCAGACTTCTGAATCCTGATACTTAAAGATCAAAGTCCTCTGGTAACCAGTAAAACTGGATATATGTTGATTTTTTTAAGTTTTTTTATTTGATGTTAACAGTTCTTGGAAACTACTAGCGAGATGTAAAAGAAATAACTAAAAGTTAAAGGAAGCCAAAAAGAAAATGTTACAGCCAAGTAAAATTAAGACAGCAGTGCTATCTTATAGCTTTGGCCAAAAGCCTGGCAGCTATATTTAACATCACAGTAAAAGGAGCCCTTATTAAGACTGGACACGGAATCCTGAGACAAACTTTCATCAGATATGAGTTGAAGTTGAAGAAAGCCTGACAAAATCCTTTTTTTCTGCATCTGTTTAATGTCGTGTGGTGAGACTTCTTTCCCCTAATCACAATTAAAAAGGATACAAGATATCGAGGGCCAGGACAGTGTAATATTTCATATTGCTGTTATCTAGGGTTGTATTTACTTTACTCTGAAAACCTGGTAAAGATGAGATGATTTCTGATACATTAGAAATTCATGGCGTGATCTGTAAAAAATGTTATGTGAAAAGTTAAAGAGGTTTCCTTTTCAATTGGCCAAAAACATATGTTGTTCTGTTGGGTTTTGGTTGAGGTTTTGAAGCTAAAATTCAGTCAAAGAGCCTCAGCCAGAGGGCCATTACTAAGAGACTTGGATCATTTTATCAGCTCTTGAAACTAAAGTCTGAACATCCCACAAGTGCACTTTGAATTCTTGGAAAGGACCACAGTGCAGGGAGGTAATCTATCTTGACAAAAACAGATTACAGATTTTGCGTCCCCACTGATGTAAAAAAAGAAAAGTTGTGAAAACTTTGCAAAGACCATGATGGAACAATCAATTTCAAACGTTTGGAGCTACATTTGGTCGTAAAGAGGCAAGCTTTTTTACTAACTTTGAACAACTGATAACTCTATCAAGACACAATTGTGCAAGTACATGCCTGGATATTTTTTGTCAAATGGGGGTCAAGCCAGCAGCTCTTCCTGAATGTTTCTATGGTTTTTGAGACACAAGATTGACCTCCTCCTCAACATTTCTTTGTTATATAAACCAAAGAGACAGCAATGAGGAATGATTCTGCTGTTTTCATTTCATTGTGTTAAATGTTAGCATGGTCAAGTCGTTTGTAAAAAGTTTCAAGCACATTTATAAAGCATAAGTCACCCTTTGTAAAGCATGTAAAGCGAAGCATGACTCAAACAAGCTCATTAACATTTTGCAGACACACTTTTCTAAAGGTTTACGTGTACTGCTCTCTCTCAGTAAGTTAGACTCCCGACAACAATTTACAAAAAAATACAGATTTCTTGGGGTTTTATTTTTGGAAAATTTGGATGTAATTGGATGTGTGTAGAAAATAAAACACTGAGGCTCTGACATGAAACTCACCTGGCAAGCAGATGCTCCAGGTTCCCTCCCATAACCAACAAAAGACGCCCTCTCCGTTTTACCTGTAACAACACAGAAAAGCCAGACATAAGTGCTGTGATGCTATGAAACATAGCCATATACCAAGCTTCCAGACCCCAGTCGTCCGCTACTGCTTCCCACTTGGATTAGTATGCAGGGTGAAAAGCTGGTGCGAGATGAAAGTTTTATTCACTGAACCAATTGTCATCTTCAGCATGCTAGTCTGGACCTCATCTGAACCACCATAAAAGTTTGACTTTAAGTCCACAGACGCACAGTTTTAGTACACTGACAGAGAGAATTGTGCAGATGGTTACAATAAAATTGTGCAATGAAATTCCTGTAATTCCCTTCATAGTCACTTCTCCAAAAATAGGGAAGGTGCCAGTGGTCAAAGCCCCTGTGATTGGATATGAGTGATGTTAATTGCTTTAAAAGTAAATTCAGTATAATTCTATAACTGCCACACATTTATATGACTTGATGAGTATGGATCCAGGAAAATTGATTAAAAACTGTATAGTGGACTCAACATTAGAATGAACTTAAGGACTAGGGCAAAGGCTCACTTAGTTCTTCGTACCACTTTAACATAATACCAACAGTAAACATTAAACTGCTGACAGTCGGACTATGTGCTCCTATCCTCTTTTCCTTCTTCCATCCACTCTGTTCTATGATGGTGTCAGACACTGAAGAAAATAAGGAGGAAGCCATTTATGGCCTTATAGACTGGCTGATTTATATCTATGGCATAAATCTCTCTTCTTTCTTCTTTTTTTTAACAGTAAGGTGCTCAATTTATGGATTTGTCACACTAAAAGTGATCTGAGGTTTCCTTCACTGCAAATACTACCCCTAAATGTAGAGGAAAAAAATCAGACGTAGGAAAAAAAGATACACACTTCTGTAAAAGTGCTACAAATCACAAGAGTGCAGAATATGTGTTCAGAGAATTAATTACTGATAGTGCAGCAAAAGTCAGCGTCCTTCCATCACTGTCACATCCTATGTGCGGAACTCAAAGGGGGCTCCCAGGCTGCCAACAGGGGAAAAATAAAGATCTTACACAACACACATGAATCATGCACATCACAACACCCAAACTCAGCAGTTTTACTCCAATATGAGAACAAACAAACAAACAAACGAGAGCTCCTTGGGGAGAGTGATGAACGGCTTTAGGAGTACCATACATTATTTTACTCAGACCTCCAAATATTACAAGCTCAGACACAAGCGTTAGAACTAAATTCTGTTTACTCTGGGGACAAAGTAAATATTTTTTTTGTGCTGAAAAAACCTGCAGAGCCAGATATTTTGTCAGACGATGACGGATCTGAGCGCTGCTTTCACGAGCACAGGTGAACAGAAGCAGCTCTGAGACAATCCACTTGTGCTTATCTGAGCAATCCTGCAGCAGACAGTTGTTATGCATCTGTGGAGAACGTCTCTGGAGACAAAAGAAGCTGAGAAAATAGGGGAATATGGTTTAACTGGCGATGCTGCTTCTGCTGTAGCAATATGTCATACGTTTTTGAGGCATCTCCCTTGCAAAAAAAAAAAGGGATTACGTTTTTGGTCGCCACTAATACTTACTATTATGGCAGGATCGTGAAAGATCTCCCACTAATGAGAACTGTGATTTTTTTGTTTTAATATGTAATGGTGGTTTAGTGAAGTTAATTGTCCATCCTACAATGTCTACTAAAAAGAAAGTCTGCTGAAGTGCAATGATCAAAAATGTATTGGCAGCATGTGTGTTGTCACACACAGTTTCGTATGTAAATAATTGATGGTCACTGGAGTAATTCAGACGTCCCCGTCAGACAGATATGTTTTGTGAAAACACTGTCACAGTGTGTATGACGCAGACGGGGCAGCAACACACTTACCAAGAAATACAGAAAGTGTTAGCTTTTCTCTGAGCCTGGACTTAAATCAACGTATATAAAACACACAGACATTCCCTGAGTCACAGAGCAAAACGTCCGAAAATCTAGCATGAAGTCCTGGCCCACTGTGGACCATATTGCCACTGTAGCATGTCTCAAAGCTTGAGTGAGACACCTCCTTGTGCCCTGCCACGGTTGACCAATCAGAACAATGGACGTTTCAGCAGGGGTGAAACTTAAAGAGACAGGATCTAAAACAAAGCTTTTTTACAAACAGGAAAAGATGTCCGGTAGAATGAAACAAAAAAACAAATTCTTGTCTTTAAATTAAATCAAGTAAACAGATCTAATATCACAAGGGAAGTCTACTGTAAATGAGCATGTGTGCTCTTTAAAATGAAAGAAATAGCAACAGGTAAATTACTTGATCTTTGGGAAATAGAATCTGCTTACTTTGTGAACACAGCATTTGGTGAATGAATGCAGGGCCTTGTTTTTGAATAAGCTCACAATCTCTGCTTTCAATTTTTAATTTCTCAGACCTCTGCTTAAAAAAAAAAAAACAGAGGCTTCTTATTTTCCTCTTTTGAAGAACTGACTGACACAATTTGTCCAGTAGAGTGCAAAACATTGGTAAATTCAGGTAAATTCAGACATAGCAGGGATTAACGCTTTTGCTAAAGACTCTGTAGTCCATCCAATGAACTAATACATCACAAAACCTTACCACTAAACTAGTACCGTTTTTTAAACATAGAAATTTAAAGTTGAAGAGAAGAGTCTGTGGGGTGCATTTGTTGGAAAAAGCAGGTGTATGCAGGAGTCCTAAAAGCAAAAGGAAGACAGTTTTAGTAGCTCAAAATGCTGATTTTACCTCGTCTATGGCACAGTCAGCACTTCCAGCTGCAGCAGAGGCTATGACAGGCCAGCTAACTGACGCAAAAACATTTTCACGTTGGCTGATGCAAAAATAGAACTTCATTATGTGAGCATAAAACAACTAGAAACGCAAATACAGGATTGCAGTATTTTTAGGTTAAGATCACACAAGGACTTCATTATCTTCACCACTGCAAACACGGGACTACAACTGTGCTCAGAAGCCACTGAAAATGATAGGAATCATTTTTTGCAGGCAGTGGTGTCACTTCACTACCTGCATGAGAGATTTTAAGGGCAAGCATGGCTGCATTACAAACAGGAACTGCTAATTCTGGTGCAAATTTGCAAATACATGGTGACACAGTGGAGATTTTGTCATCTGTGGCAAACTGTGAAAATCTCTTCTGGTAAATTGAGTTGTTTACCAAGTTTATATGAATTTTCCTACAGATAAGACGAAAGGGGCTAGGAGCCAAATAAATAACCAGTGAAAGATAACCTAGTAGAGGAAAAATGAGCACCTGTGTGCTCACTTGACACTAGAGACTGTGTTTCCCTTCATGTGCCAGTGATGGATTTAGTTCAGCTCCACATGCACAAACCACGAATGGCCGAGCCCCTTCAGACGGTCCGCTCCAAGACGCAGCGGCTCCAACCCCTTTCACTTAGCAGGTATGAACAGTTACTAAACTGGGAGTAATCCAAAACTTTTTCATCCCTTTCTTATAGAGAAGCTTTCCCCATGTCACATGCGAGACAGAGACATACATTAAACCTCTCTGCAGCATTCCAAGTTTCACAACGAAACAAGAGCACCTGCTTCTAAATGACTCACACAAATTTACACACAAATTTCAGGAGAATTCATATTTATGATGCTGAACTAAAGTAGAACAAAGTGATATATCGAGTGGAACGCTCTGCTGGCTTGGCCAGTTCCAAAGCCGGGAGCCTAAATTAGCTGAATAAAATATCATGCGGTGACACAATCTCCTATCTGACGCACAAACGCAGTAGCTCACAGCGAGCAATATAGGTCAGCGAATATAAGCTTATTTTCTATTAAACTTCTTCTTAAATCGGCCGTTCTCTGATATAGGTTTGAGACGTTTGAGATTTTAGCCCAATAATTAAGGTCTGCCCCTACTGTGAGGAAGAAACATACAAAGACAGAATTGATCCGTTTCGTGTCTTTAACAGGGTGCTATTAACATGTTTGTTTTCCCTCCGCTGAGCAGGCCTGTGTGATCACAGCTTAACAACAAGAGCAACGCTAATATTGTTATTATTATGTCCTGAGTGAGCCCATTTGTTTGGAGCAGCCATACAAAGGACTAAACGTGTGTTTTCCTTTTGTGGCACAGACCTATTAATGAATCTAAGAGCAGACACCGAGAGGAAGCAGAAATCTCTGCCACTGCTAAAACAACAGGAAGAGGCAGAGAATGAAAAAAATGTTGTTGTTTTTTAAACTATGAATCTATGAAATTAGGGCAAGATGCTTTAATTACTGCATATACAAGTATGCAACCATCTCCCACTGAGATTATCTCTCTGTGCCATGAAAATTCAATATCAGGAGGAAACAAATTCCACCAGTTCTGATGAAAATAGTCTGTGAAGACGATAATTAGCATATCACTTAGAAGTGTGAAGGTGTAACTATAATTGCGAGACATCTCTCAGTGGAAGGGAGTCTATATTCATTTGAGCATGCCATGGCGGTCGTAAATAACCATTTCCAAAAGTCAAAATCTAAAATCTTGATAGGGATTTTCAGAGGGCATTCATTTAACTAAATATTAAACTGATGAGAGTGAATCAATATCAGACTACACAGTCTACACAGTAAAGGTGGTGGTGGCAGCTTTACATCTACATGGATCACCTTTTCACATGGATATGCTGCTCACAGTTTGCTCTACACTTCTTTGATTAAGAAAACAGGGAGAATCTCTGCGACAGATTTGAAAGTTTTGTGACAGACTTAACGTGAAGATACTTTCACATTCTTGTTGTGGCACCAGTTTTGTGTTGGTTTAAAGGTAAGCCTGCAATGCCAAAGGTCAAGATGTTGGGATATAAATCATAATGCTACTCTCAAGTCTTTCCTGCATTTGGTTTCTTTCTGCCCTATTGTACAACCAGCATGCAGCCCAGCAGGGCTGGTCATCTGTGCCCAGTTTTGGCTAAATATAGCACTGTATTATTGCATTTGGAGCTCCTCTTTTGTTTAGTCAAACCCAATAATTGTCAACCTCATGCTTTCATTTTTTGTGTTTTTTTCCATGTTTTGGGCTTCAGCCATGTGCTTTTCTTTTTTTTTTTTTAATCAGGACTGGCTGGTTTCTACCCATTCTGTGTCACGCTGATACATTAACTTTTGGCAAGTTGTCCCATTGCAGTAAAGGAAGTGCAGTCGCTCCCCATGCCAACTTGTTTTCTGATTGTTTGGACTGAGGATTTGCATGGCCTACATCTTTTTTTTAGATCCTATTAGTCTTCTCTAACAATAGATCCACTGTTGTTTTGTTTAAGTTTTTTAGTTACTTACTGATGTGAAAAAATAAGTTGCTCAAACATACCTTTATAGGGACTACTTAAGAACAGTCTCTATTGTCACACTGGTGTTCTTCACAATAATGCTAAACCTAGCAGGTTCACAGATATGAGTTGGTTCTTACATTTCTCCCAATTTAATTGAACATTCTTTAATTTTTCCCGTCAGCATTGATATGCCTTACTGTAGCATGTTGCCAAGTGATCATCTATTCTCTAGCACTACAGTTTGGCAATAAAGAGTCAAAGAGAAACATATCAATTAACAGAGATGTACCTGTACAGATAATACAATTTTACTATTGATAATCTCCTTTGTAAAGAGATTTTCTTTTCTTTCTTTTTTTCTTTAAACGGGAAAATTAAACATATACAATTGCAACTAAAGAATTGGAAGGAATATATTAAAACAAAGCATAATAAACTTAAGATAAACATTCATTTGAAATAAAGAGGACCGTGGACTATGGCCTTTAGATTGTTAGAAAATCTGTGAAAAGTGTTTAGTCCAGTTCAGTGTCATCTACCGTTAAGCTTTAGGAGTGAAAAACAGACAATAATCTGTGCTTAAATCTTCCACAAAGACATGGCAAGCTGGCCAGTCCTTCCCAGTGTGCGACCTTATTGATCACAGGTTTGCAGCACAGCGTAGCCTGGCACCGTGTCGAGCGCCTCATTTTGATAATGGGAGCGGTAGTGACCTAATCGTCTCCAAGGATCAATTCAAAAACCTTACCACAAAAACAGCCAATTAGTGAGCACGCCTCACCGCCTTTCAGATGCGTTCCAAGGGCTTCTTTTTTGGGGGGATTTTTTCACCAAGAAAACAAGTACTTTTTCCCTGCTCCAAGGAAAGGCAACACAATGAAAACAAGCACTTATTACTGGAAATGTTAATGTAGAAACCAAATGAACTTATCACGTTCCTACTGGCTTGGTTTGTTTATCCTCTGAGTAAAAATGTGTTTGAGGTGGGCTTATTTTCCAGTCTGATGACTTCCATGGCACCTTATCAACAAAACTTTATTCCTGCAAAGTTAAAGATCATTTCTTCTTTGCAGCAACAAAACTTTGACAAAATAGGCAAGACTTAAAAATTGTTAAACAGTTCTTATTTTCCTTTTGAAGTCCATGACACGCACGCCAACACAAGGACTCAAAGGATTCAATAATCAACTTCCAATGAGACAATCTCCCAGATATAAAGTTAGAGCTTGTTTGGCTGCTCAGAAAGGAAAATTAGACAGGCTCCATGGTTACTAATTTATTCCTCTTGCAACCAGAGACTGTACAGCCTCACATCAGATTGTCACACTCAGAGCTTTGTCCCTATACCTTTTAACATGCCTGCTTTTGTTTCCCTTTTTAAGAGATGGTGTATATCTCTTCTTCCACTGCTGTTTGATGCTTCAAACGTGAATTTTTCACACTAAATAAAAGCCGGCTGGGTTAGAGGTTAGGTGGGGAAACAGGGGAGGGAGGCAGTGTACCATATCTGCTTCCTCCCTGGCTGGTGGAAGAATGTGTGCAGCGCGGCTTTAGGAACAACAGCAGGACGGAGGAACACGATAGAGCCACAAAACACCAAGGAAACATGCTTTTCTTGCCCTGAGCTCCACATCAATTTATGTACACAGCCTTGTCACAAGTGACATTATTCAAAACAGCAAGAGCAAATGTTAATGAGTTCTTATTTGCATATTTATTTTTTCTTTGTTGAAATGTCACTGATTATTACGTACTAGGATGATAAATGCTTCTGCGCTTGCAGCCTGATGTGTAATTAGCTATTAGGTGGAATGAATAGATCAATTAAAGGGCGAGGGGCCAGGATTAAGAGAAATCAAACTGGGAAGAAACAGGAATAAGAAATAAAACAACACATTATCTCACGAGGGGGAAAAAAACTTCTTTGCTTTTAGATGTGGAAGAAGTATAGATAATGTTAAAAAAAAAAACATTTAAAAAGCGGCTAAATCTGCATGAGCTCCTAACATTTTGGAAAATATTCTTCAGCCTTAAAGTATGACTTACAACATCAGGAGCTGTTCATTTTTCTCCTAAAATCCATCTCCGTGCGAGACAAGTGGATTTCCTGATTGTATTTATCCCCCTCCCAGGATAATCAGGTGCCACGGCGTGGTCTATTTAAATTTCCTCTAACTCGGTAAAAAGGAAAAAGGGGAGGTGGACAGGGGAAAATGTTTTCGCTTGGCCTTTGCCTTTTGCCGAGCCCAACTATTCTCCTGCCAGCGCTTGTTATTCACAAATGAGGAAAAAAATGCATTACTGTGGACCAGATGGGAACATTCCACATGACCAAACCAATCAATCACTTTGCTGGGACGCAGGTGTGACACAGCCGCGCAGCAACACACCATTTCACAGTCTATCAGGCACAAACACATGGTCACCAATCAATGGCACCCCGAGGACCCACGAGGAGGGTGCTTCTCTGTAGCCTCGCTGGTTCATAGCTGATGACTTCATAATCACACATCCATTCTCTCAGAGGAGAAAGGCGATGAGCTCCCTAATAACACCTCCCAACACGTGAGCACCAACACTGTAATGGATGCGGCTTGAGCAGGGGACGCCGAGGTGCCCTCGTTCACATGTCAAATTCAAATGGGAGATGACGGCAATCACCCCCGTCTGGTTATGAGAGCGCTGGAACAAGAGCGGCTTTAACAAGCTGAAGAAATATCCCCCTGTTGGATGTTAGAATCAGGCTAGTGTGCAACATCAAAGCATGAGTCAATGTTTGGTATTAGAAGCCAAACAACTGTTGAACAGCAAAACAAAGGAGAGCCAAAGAGAGGTGAAGGACAAGGAAGGATACACACATGGGTTAGGAATGCTGATCCAGCTCACAGCGCTGTGGGCATATTTCCTTACACAGAAACCCCCTCAAACCTTGAGGGGTCTCCAGTCTAAGAGCTCCAGCCTGCACTAAATAAAACACCAGGACAGAGGGGGATAAATCTTTTTGATGAGCACTCTCTGTGGGGATGGCATGGCAGGACAGCAAAAACTGGAGCAGCCATTCAAAGAGTTTTGGTCGGTTTTAAGTCGACAAAAAAAGTACCTTCCCACCCCCGTATCCCTGGCATTAAAGAACAAGTCTCACAGAGACGTGCTTCTCTCTACACTTCCCACACTTTACACTCTCGGGGCTGTGCCAGCGTAGGAGAAAATGTCAGGCATTGTCAAGTGGGAGTAAAGGCGAAACAAATGTTTGCATTTTATTATCCAATCACAATTCACTATAGTCCAGAAAGAGGGGAATGTAACATTATCAAGTATTTGGCTTGCCAGCACACCCAGCATGGACACAAGACATTCAGCCAAACAGTTGTGCCTGTGGAAAGAATGGAGGTGGGAGTTAGAGAACTGGGGGGGTAGTTGATCAACAAATTATGTAGCTGACCCATGGTGGCTCATCTTAACCTTATATGTGTGCAACGCATTAGTTGCTTTATGAAACATTACCAAGGTCAAGTAAAAACCGGACTGGTCCATGTTGGAGGGGTCAATTTCATGCATTCCCTTGTTGGAATGGTAGAGAAACTAAGAAGGCTGTGGGCTTTTGTATTATTACCTTAGGTTGGTCACCTTTGTGCTGAACGCAAAGATAGAATTATACCCTGTCACCGCCTCTGGTGTGCGGTTTAACTCAATAAGCACAAACACTCCAAAGCTAGTCCTGCATACACACTAATGAACAGTTACCTTTTTAGGAGATTTCCTAAAGATAAGTGCCACTTCCTCATTTACAGGAATGGAGCAGGCAGGAGAACAACAAAGGAATGGTCAGTTAACAATAATTTAGCTTTAGCAAAGAGACAGTAATGTTATACCCGGGATAAAATGGCTCTTTGGAGCATGGTTCAAAGCTGAACAGTTTTAAGTGTTAAGTGCTGTAAACAAGACAAGATCAACCACTGAAGTCAACAGGCTGAAAGTGTTGTGCCCACAGTAAACATTCTAAATGAATACTTTCCTTTTAAGAGCTGAACTTGAATTGAATAAGCTTTAACATTCTTATTGGCGTCAGCAGTGTGAAGCACGTGGTGGGAGAAATACGAGAATGGGGGAGGAGAAATAAAAGGAAAGAAATAGATGTGCGATATGCATGCACGCTGGTACTGTGGACCGTGGAGAGGCAGAATTTAGGTTGAAACTCCTTTTACTGTTATTCAGCAGAAAAGTTATTTGGAAGAAATAACTACATTCTTGTGCAGAGTTCAGCAAAGTCATATAAGGAATTATGTACAAGTGTCGGCTGAACTTCTTACAAACAAAGCTGCCTGTACTTGGTGTTGTAAAATCAACATGCATAACAAGCATTCTTCCACATTAAAAAATGCAGTGGACTGGCTGAAGCAGGCCCGGTGAAGACACTGTTTCTCTGATCATAAATATAAGTGTGCTACTCTGACCCGTGCAGCTGCTTCCTAGAGACTTGTTATGTCATCATAAGTTGGCTATACCACCGCTTCTCTATCCTCTCTGGAAAGATGGCCCTTGGGGCCTACTCAGTCAACAGCTGATCCTCTACAGCTGGACAGCCCTGCCAGTCGCTTGTTGGGGGCGAAGTCCTGAGGAAGTGAAGGAAGGAAGGAAGGAAGGAGCTTGGCAGGGCCAAGATGGGCTGAGAGAAACACAAAGGCGGGGAGGGGTGTGGGGAGATGGGGATGGTCTGGGGACGGAGAAATGGGATTTGCACCCTTTCAGCTCATCCACAGCTCTTCATGCTTCACTGACCACAGTAACAGATAAGGACACCCTGCAGCTCTGCATAATGACCAGCTACATCCACTAAACTGTACTGCTCTCCATTTTCTGATCACATCTGATTTTTTTAAGTTAAATCTACAGCCCACAAGATTATGCTCTTCTCCTTAGAGCTTGCTGTTGACTAAGTGTGTGTGAGTGTGTGTGTGTTGCTGTGTGAGTATGGTTATGAACAGCAAAGTGGAAGCGGGGAGCTGCACCGGCAGCACCTGTGACCCGCGCAGCACTGGAAACTGAGTGTGCACCTGAACAACACCTGGACACAATCACAGCCCGGGCTTGGGGAGGTTCTCCCCTGGGACCAAGCATTAGCGCATGACACCTGCCCCAATAAAAACACACTGGGGAAGCCAGCGTGAGGTGGGATTTGACACTTTACGAAAAGCTTTGAGGATCAATTAAACATAAAAAAGGAAAATGCAAGCACAGACTGAGCAAAAGGCTAGTGGTGCAGGATGGATGTATTTTTCTAATCTTAAAGTTTAATACAACAGAAACCAGTCCTGTATATAATTTATTAACTCTCAAAGAAGGAAAGCCAGCAAAAAGAAATATCATTTTTACACCCAGTATTAGCAGCGCAGGGCAAGAAAAAGCCCACAAATACCAGCCAAACATCAACACTAGTACGGTGCAAGTTGTTTGCACGAGAGATTAAACAAACACAAAGTGTGGGATTACTTGTTAAGACAAGATATAAAGCTTGACCAGTCGAATTGCTCAAAAGTATTTGCAGATTAGAACTGGAAACATAGGCTAAGAGCATAGCACCAGTCATATGAAGTCTGGGGATTAAATCTTTACCCACTCTGTTGCTGTCAGAGAATGACAGTAATAAAGAACCGCTCTGAAAGCAACAGCCCAGCGTGGAACAATCGTGTTATAAAAGGGAAAATCCGTTTTTGGGTCAAACATGTCACTTCAGATATTTGATATTATGGGCTACAATTTTCTTTCTTGACATTAAGCTCAGAGATGACTTAAAATAGTGTGACAATGAGTTTGCCTTAAGGAGTTTGGAATAACAAAGAAAAAATGTTTAGTTTTCATAGTTGCTTTTTTTCCTCCCATTTACTGTGGTTAGTCCCTCAAAATTATCTTAGGCAATATTCAAGACATAAATTACCCTAAAAAGTCCAAAGAGACACTTAATGTTTTAGATCTTTATGATTCTATATTCGTAAATCAACCGGCTATTTCTCAATCACTCTAGAGTTACAGTTTAGAGGAGCTCTTCCCTCTCAGCAGAGACGCAAGAGCAGTTATTTAGCCTATTATGTTTGATGTGCATTCACAGGAAAAGACATGCCATACCATTTAATAAGTAGGTGTCAAAAAGAAATCTGCAGAGTACTACATCAATGCGTTTGAGAGCATTTTCTATTGCCTTTTAACAATTAACTTGGACAAACAAAACAAAAAACTGGTGGTTTAACAATGCAACTAGCGTCTGAGTGTTCTGTGCAACTAATATGTGAAATATTTAAAGCTGATGATACGATGTTGTCCTCAGTAATTACAGCCCGGGATGAGACACACTGAGCAGGGAAATGATGTTAAGGTCACACGTGTGTATCAGCATGTTGGCAGCACTCTGCATGTGGATATGTGCATGTGTTGATGACAGACTTAAGCTGATTAGATTTTATGAAGGACTAAAGCTGTATGAGTAATGGACATGAAGTACACCAAAGAAACGTGAGTACAAGACTACAACTCAGCAGTTGTGGTATCACGCCCACGGACACATGGCTGGAGAGAACCGATCCAAAAGCAGCTCAGTTATGCAGCGAGAGCCCACATGAATGTCACTTTGTTCTGAACACATCTTAAGTTTAAAGTTGTCCAGTTGAATCGCATCAAACTTAAAAGGAACATTTTGAGAAGGAATTGAAAGCATCGGGTAAACATAAACTCACGAGAGTTGCCATTCTGACATCCAGCTCTTGGATGTAAACTTAAGTTTGTATTAAGTGTGAAACAAGGAAGCATAAACAATATAAACCAAGCACACAAAAAGTCAGATAATTGGTGACTTTTCTTTAAATTGATTAAGCTTTTATCGTTCACACACTCATGGCAATAATCATCTGGTACAAACAGTTTTGTTTTTTTGTTTTTTTGCCATTATTACAAATATTCACTCTTATGACAAAGAAACCGGGGACAGAGATCAAACAGGGAATAAGTGTGGCATTACAAATACAACATTGGGAAGATATTTCATTCTTCTTTTAAGTGATTTCCCATTTTTTATGTATTCATTAAGTGTTATCAATGACAGCTGTGGTTAGGTTTATTAGCTCTATTTTCCATGGCGACATGAACATTGTTTGAGGTTTGGCCACAGAATCAAAAGGCTTTCTGTACTAAGTGAAAAACAAGATCAGTCCATTGTGTAAATAAATTCAAAAAGGCAAACACTGAGCACATCATGCTCAAAATACAGCATGAAATAAATGAGCAAAGAGCAGCTCATTCAGTTGTAGCTCGTCGCCTGTGGTAATTGCCCAGATTGCTTGAAATCGATCTCCCCCACTGACTTCTCATATCGAGCCCACAACACAAGAGAAAATCTCAGCAGGTAATTAGATGTAACCATTTCTTGTCAGGGCTACAAACTGCTGGAAATCCCTGTGGCTAAACAATTAGAAGAAGTGAATGAGAGCCAACCCTCCACAGCAGGACCTGCAGGAGACCTAGAGAAAAGTATTGTAAAAACAAAAAAAACTTTTACATGTGTGCTTGAATGGCAGCCATGCTTCATTTGCATTTCAGAGGGAACAGGACAGGAGTTATTATATGAATGAATAATTGGAATCCGATCACCCGGTTGCCAAAGATTCAAATGCTCACAAGATTTAAAAAGAAGAAAAAACATAACTCATGTCAACTGAACAAAGATCGTCTATGGTATGATTTCCAATTCACTATATCTAATTATGTTAAAGTAGTTTTTGGCTTATCTGGGTGACTACTGACTATTAATCCTGTCTGTGACGTTAGGGGGGGAATCACACACTGTTCTGCAAATCCCTTACAATGATACCTGTCCCAGTGTTCCCTGTGTGCCAAACGCACGTGAGGACTATGTCACAGAGGCTCACATGGCTGAGACTGAAACTTTTTGGTGTGCTGTGAACATGAACAAAGTGGCGGCCACCTGTTGCGGAGTCTGTAGTGGAAGACAAGTCAGTAAGAGGATTGTCAAACAAGAAGTTGGGCTTAGAATGCTCTTGAGCCCAAGTTCAATCACTTTCCAAACTGTGATGTGAACATTATAGATTTTGGTTGATAAAGTTAATTTGAGCAAATCAAACGCATTTCCCCAACAGAAACTATATCATACACACTGTTCATGCAGGCACAGCTGTTCTTAGTCCCAAATGACTGGAAAAACAAGACCAGAACATCAGATGACACACAACTACAAACATAGCTCCCAAAAGATTGAGTGTATGGAAACATATGCAAACCTTGTTTTTGAGGCCATTTTTTCTGTTTCTCTGTCTGACTTTTTTAGTTGTTTTCTAAAATCAGAGATGTTTTCGAGTGAATTCAGTCTCGAAGCTGTTAGTCAGCTTAATGAGTAACAGGTGAAACGCCACCAAAACAACAGTGCAGCTTTTCTTTGTGAAAGCATCACTAAATGTTTTGGTCGCTACTTTTTCCACAGGAAATTTCCCACTTACTTTTTTTTCTGATGTCGGCCCTGGCTTAAATGTATTGTGCTGATGGACTAGAACAAACATGCATGTTACAATGACATGTTCTTAATAGTGTATTGCACACTTCCCATCAGGAAGGATGCACTGAATAAGAGGCAGGAAATATGAATCAGTCCACAGAGCTCTGAGTCACCAATTAGGCTGCCGGTCACCAGTGGGTTGCTCCAGAATTTCTGCAGACACGCAGCTTCCAAACATTTTGGGACATAGTAAACGCTCGCTGAGCATCACGGGACATCTCAATGTGCTGAATAAGCACTAAAAACATCCAACGATGTCACATCTTTATGATTCCATTTATTCCATTCCATTTCATCCTCTGTGAAGTGAGCCTTGAAAAAAACCTTCAAGTCATAGTTTTAACACTGAATTGAAGAAACAACCAACATTAAGGCTGATGATGAAAATCCCTCAGAATAAACTAAATCTGACAGTTTATAAAGATATGATGGATTAAAATGAAACATTATAATATTTTTGCAATGGAAAGTTACTGCATCCCACGTTAATGGAGCTGTTCTATCTCATGCATTGACAAGGAAAAATCTTTGAGGCATGACTTGATGAGGATGCTGAACATTCCATATGTTAAGTCCCAGATGTTACAGTGGAGAACAATTTAATAAAACTGCAGTCATCCAGAATTCCCAATCTGAGATAAGCAGAGGCAATTCCATGTTTGCAATCGAGCTGCTGCCTAAATCTGGCGTATCATTCCAACGGATGACATCCATATTCTGCCATTAAAAAGGGCATGTCACACATACAGTTTAGGGAAGCTGGGAATAAGCTGGGTGTGGGATGCAGTCATGTGATCAGTTATGAGAAAGATAACTTCTTTTTTTTTTCCAATGCAGCAGCAGCCATTTGTGAATTCATCATGGTGCTTGTCTCTTGGGCCATGACATGAGCGGAGATGTAGTTAGCCGTAAAACTGCCACGTGGTCACACACCACAGTGATGTCAGTCCAAAGAGCTGGACAGCATTACATCATTTAATTGTAATAATGTCAGAGTATGCTGGGTAACATTAGGGCAATACATTAGGCAAATGAATGTGGACAACTGACCAATGACTTTCATCAGGATCAAAAACAGGAAATCTAAATGAGCTTTAAAAAAAAAATCCTTGATATTTGTGTTATGGAGCTAAATACATTTTTTTTAAATGATAGAGAAGCCGGAACATGACAGGTAGAGCAGATGAAAGGACACCTCAGAGTTGTTGGGGGGGATATCACATCAAACGAATTTTCAACCAGTGAGGTGAGAAGCATAATAGCAAACTGGGATCAGCACGGCTCTCACAATTAGATCAGAACATAGATAAGCACACCTCATACATATAATCTTATTTCTGTCATGATCTCACAAGGCAAAGATAGCAAAGTTCAATTAACATATCTAAATAACATATCGAGATTAAAAAGGTTTGGATATTTTAGTGACACACATCTGATAACTCTACACCAAAGAAACACAAAGTCTGCAATGACTGAGCTTCTGACGGTGGTTCTGATGTCTCAGAGACAGCTTCATGTGATGGAAAGCCATACTGATGGCATGACTTCAAGCCTGGGGGAGGGTCATCGCAGGAGGAGGATGTGGGAGATGCAAGGGGGGGTGAGGGTTAAGAGGGGAAAAGAAAGAGAACACAGTCCTGTGGCCTGGCAAGCTTTTCAGCACTTCTACTTCCAGATGCATGATGTGGCTCTCACCTCAATCGGGCTTTATTTTTCCACACATCTCCACAACTAAAGGGCATGTGAGAATGAGTTAAGAGAAGTAGCTTACTTACCCATTATGTTTGAGTTCATAAAAGGTGTTGGGGACAATCCTTCATGGGACACTAATCGACTGTCACTCAAGTGATCGTTGTAATGAGGGCTGTCTGTGAAACCCTGAGGGAAGACATCAGAACACCAAGCACATTAGTGATTAACTTCAATAACTGTGTGCTGTAGCAGACTTCTGACTGTTGAGGTGCAAAACGGCCGGTCTTTTAAGCCAGTAAAGTTTCTGCATAATGGTTCCAAATATGGATATGTAAAGGGAAGATCTGGTAGTGACGACGAGTGGTTCATCTTCATGATACAATTACAAATATGACTCTAGTATCTACATCTACAGGAAATCAGATTTTTACTGTTTGTCTAAATCTTGCAAATAATAATCATGGATAAATCTTATTACTTATAATCTAACCTCAACGCGTTTGAAAAATATTAAATGTTTCTAAATCTTTCTAAGGTTCTCCAACTGACTTTTTCCAAACCTGGTTCTGCAAAAAATGGGCAAATATGCCTTATTGTTGCAAATTAAATGTACTGTGTGCTGTATGAAGTTTGTTAATAAAAGTGTGCGTTTTTTTATAGTATACTCTTGTTTGACCATTTATTCTAAATTTTTTGCATCATGCCATGAATGTGGACATGAATGTGGGTGATACAAAGATGATGTTTAACAGAAAGGGAAGCTCCAGACTGATGCACTCTTACATTATTTCCAGTTACCTGCAGCTTACAGGAATTGGCTTTTTTTCCCTGCCGTTTCACAGCGCCTTTTCAAGACAGTTATCAGCTTCGGGGGCTTTGGTCTAAATATCGGTCACAGTTTGGTTTTGGATAACTTCAGTTCCCATGTCATAAAAAGATTCTCTGTTACAGTGTTACTCCCAAACCCTGTAAAATCCTCCCGTGCACCAGTCACAAACTACATTAACTCCCGGGAGACAGTCCGCACAGCAGTGGGCTTGCATTTCTACAGAGCTATTCATACCCTTTGCATTACACATATAGCAAAAAGAAAAAAAAAGTTAATCTTATTATCTATCTTTTTTGTGAGTGGATGGTGATGCAGTAAATTCAAAGGCAATGGAGTGTTGTGTTGCATAGAGGGATTCCCCATTGTGCTCTTGCCAGGCTGCACACACTGTAAATCACACCGTGAACCGACTCAATAACAACAACAGCCCCCTGAGAACGTCTAAGATTACTATGACACACAAACACTGCTGAGGTAAGCAGGCTAAATAAATAAATAAATCTGTGCTTCAAACGGAACAAAATTATTTGAGAAGTTAGATAAGAAGATTGAAACTGCTTCCATATTTGTGCCACTGAATTAGCTTTCATATCTAACAATAGTTGACTTTGGGGGGTTTGCGTGCCAGTGAATGTGAGCAGACGCACACTTTCTTGAATCATTTTTTGAAAATGTACACTGCACACAATAAATTGCTTTGCAACAAAGTGCGAAGGACTGACCAACGTATCCAGCTGCCCCCTCAGGTGAGTTTTCTCATACAGCTAAAATAATCCACCGTCTTGGATAGTAGCTGGTGGCCGTGATCCCTGTAGTTCCCTGTAGCGTTCATGAACTCAGAGACAGATTTTCACCCAGTTGCCAAGTCGCAGGCCTAGACAGTTTAGATGTAGTGCATTGTCTCCAGTAAGCCTCACTGTGAGGGACACATGGCAGGGTTGACCAAAGCTAAGACATTTCTAAAGAAATGTTATGATGGGTCACAAATAATACCCTGTTTTTCAATGTCAAAACATACCTATAAATCTATTTTGAAATCTTTTCGATGTTCCCATCTGTCAAATAATGTACAACTACATAAATATAATCAAATTAAATCCATCAAAGTACATGACAACTACTTTGAAGGTAAATTCCTAGACTCTTAAGATGGTTGCCAGGCAACTACTTTCAGCCACAGGACAATCTGACACAATAATCTGTGAGATGGTGAATTTTTTCTTTTCTAGGAAAAGATATAACTTACATACAGCCAAAAGGCCAGTTCCCATGGTGAGATTTTCAGCAGTTCTGAATGGTAGATGAGCAACAAGAAGGAAACACAGTAATGCCTTTGACAGTCGCATCCATGGTGGGTCTACACTGAATGGTCTGAATTGTCCTGACATGGTGTTACGACCAAAGAAAACTGGGGAAAATGTCTGTAAGTTTCACATTTAGAAGGATAATCATGTGGAGTGAGAGCTAATCAACAAATAGAAGAAGTCTTATCTGTGTGACCATCAAGACTGAACCGAAAAAGAACAAAAAAGAGACTGAAGCAATTAGAAATTACCTGACAAAACAACAAATAAAATTGGTATCACATTAGGATACTTTCATTCCTCATACTTTGATTTCATGAGTCTTCTCTTAACCGCTGTGACCATAAACTGAAATCACAGCTAACAGCCTGTCTGCAAGGAAAAAGGGAGGAAAATGGTCAAAACTGGTTTAGCGGATCCCTGTGATTGTATGTTTTTCAGCCAAACCAGACTGTTTGCTCCTCCGAGTTTGTTAGATCATCAATCACAGGTCCCTCATCGTTCCCCAAATACTTGTGGCCTACATCTATCTGAGACACTAACATACGCTGTCATCACTGCCGCAGGGGGACATTAGCACTCTTGGCTAAATAGCTGTCAGATCACTATGGCAGCAAACAGGCTGTAGCTCACGCCTTCTTCCTCATTCACTCGCCACACCATTTAAGGACTCATTTTTCCACACACTGGGTTGCGTCCCAGGTGAACGTGTGGCTGCTAGGGAAGTGATGATACGGTCATGATGGATGCTTGCGGGGTTGAGTATCAATCGGGGCAGGGCGCTGGGGAGGAGGGGGTTGTCGCGCTGTGGTGGTGGCCACAGCCCTGCCTGTCAGACCGCCAGCCCGCAGCCACAGCTACCCAGGATACAACGGCTGGCTGGGGGCCAAGGTCAGCTCGACAGGGCTCAGGACTCTTCACAGTCGACTGATCACACATTCATAGAGCACAAGCTCAAACAAGCTCAGGGACAAGACCGAATTCCCTTTGTAGCAGACTGAAGGATGAAGCACGCAGAATTTCTTGCAAGAGCCTTGAACAGATGTAGTGAATGAAGGATAAATTGGTACATTTTCAAATAACTGGTTTGTGTTCTTAATCAATAGTCATTTCAGATTGTCTTTCATCAGTGGGGTGAAATAAAAATGGCAATTTCTAAAATTGCCTAATTTCCACATTTTCCAAAAAGGATAAGCGACTTTGCGCCATGGTGCAGCTTTGTCATTTACAAGCTTTTCAAGATTTTCAATTACAAGCTGGTCTTGACAGCACAAAAAAAACTTCTGAACAGAAATTACACCTCAATTTACAGTAGTCCATAAAGATTTATGCAATTTACTGTATGCCTGTAATTGTCAGTATGAGCCAAAATGATGCTATAATGACCTAAAACTTCCACAAACCAGATCAGTTGCTTGTATTTAAACATTCAAATGTTAATATCTCACTCACTACCTGCATTATTTCTAAAACGTCTTGACGAATATGAACAGGATTAAAACTCTTAATGGTCTTTCTTTATGGTTGCATCTCAGGTCTTTGCAGGGCAGTGAAATTTAGGACATTTTCTCATTGCGTTTAGCACTGTATCTGCTCACGCTTTAAGGCTTAAAGCCTACAGTTAACTGCAGTTTTCTGTATGCAAATATCTGCTTTTGTTAAACAGATTTTTGGATGCCAAAATCAGTTAAGACAAATGACCATTTTTATCTCCTTTGCTTTTTCTTTATTTTCATTCTGTTAATTTTTTCCATTTTTATTCCTTGACAAATAAAAACATTCATTTTATGAATGTTCAGTTTATGAAAACCTTATCAAATGTGTTCCATACAAAGAAATAATACCATACATTGTGTCCAAGGTTGGTGTAATTCCATTTTAAGGGTCTTTATTACATAGCACAGCTTTCATTTACTTTAAAATATAACAAAAGCTAAAGAGACATAAATCATTGAAATGGGATTCTTGCTTCAGCAAGCGTTATTTCCTACACATCGATTGGCTGCACCCAGAAAGAAAAACATATGATATTTAATAATAAGAACAATGTATCAGTGTTACTACAGCTGGTTTGGTTTATTTCCTTAGACACAAAGTAAATAAGAACTGCACATTAAGACAGATATGGTTTGGGATGCAGAATAATAACGACACCGTTGTCTTCACTGACTGAGGGTAACTTCAACTACAAGAACCTGCAAATCTGATTTTGCATCCATATTTCCTGGTTTGAGGTTAAAATTGGAAATGCAAATAAATAAAGCATGTTATTCATGTTAGTTCAAGTTTTTTTTAAACCTACATTATAAGAGCCTTTTCTTCAACAGTGAAAGAATGGGTAAAATGCACGTTAATACATCATTATCTGGGGTTTCCCACAAAATCTCTGTACAGGCTGGACTCTGAGGTTTCAAATCTAACCCAGTTTTTCATTTTTACAAAGTAGACAAACCTACTTCCACCAAAGTGCATCGGCCCATAAAAACACATTTGGAGGTTTGGTGACTTTTATACCTTTTAAAAGTCAAATTTAAACAAAAATTAATTATTTCCTGTGCAAGACTATCTGTCCTTTGCACTGTGCTTCAAGCAATGATACGAATAACTGATGCCACTGCATTACAGCTATTGAATGTAAATGTGGTGTTCGCCGAGCAGCCAATGAACATGGAAAATGCAACAAAGAGTACAACTGGACATGTGCAATTTTTTGTCAGATCAATTCGGCTTCATATAAAATCAATTTGACTTTTTCACACAACATAATTTAGCATAACATAAACATAATTTAACATAAATTAAAGGAAATACATACATGCTATGCATTACCAAAGCTATCAATTTGTAATAATCATTATTTAATATAAATGTTGTCTGGATTTTATGCTGTTGTCATTCATGGTGATCTATTTTATACATCTGAGTGATTTGAACACTTTTGCAACATCAAAATACATAAATCATTGAAGAAACAGAAATAATCACTGCATGATGTATAAGAAATTCTCCTCCTATGTGGGTATGAAATCGTATGGGCTGTGCTATCAAACCCGTATCAGTACAAGGTGTTTGTGCAGCTGTGTGGAAGTGTCTGCGTGCAGCCCTTATGGATGTGCAAACAGCTGTCTGCTGGCTGACGCTCTGCCTTGTAATGTCAGAATCACTCATTTATATGCACCTGGAGCAAAGATATCTCAAGCGTCTCTGTCTTATAATTCAAATCAAGCTGCCTATGTTACCATCGCCTGTAGATGCACATTCGGGAAGGGCACAGAGAAATAAACAAGGTAACGCAGCCCGAGCGGCTCTGACATTTAGCTGAATTCTAATAGAAAGTGACAGGAGATTGACATTAAATGAAATTCATACAGGGCATCGAGAACAGCCAGTGTGTGAGGGACAAACAAACAAGGAGATGGATGTTCACACTTGCTCAAGAAGTGAGATATTCTCACTTAAAGCAGATAAAGTGATATAGTTTCAAGATGTTACACACAAGTGTGGGCCTTAGATATTATCGTCCACATTCATGCAAACCTTTAACATACTGAGAAGTAAAAGATTAAACTTTGACTATTACATATTCATTAAAATTCTAACTCATTTAACGAAATTCTTATTTTCCTTTTGGTAAATAATTATAATCAATACAAACAAAGTATCTGCTTATCCTAAGGTTTGAACTGCTTTGAGTGTCGAAATTATTCAAATATGAAGCATTGTTTTCAAATTAGAGGCTTAACTTGCTATCTGCCACCATAAGACAAAACAATCTACAATGCTGTTTTTTGTAAATATGATGGCTTTTTTTTTTTACGGTTACTGACATTTAGGAAGATCAAAATATTATAAATTAAGATAAAAAAGCAATGAAACAATAATGAATGAGGAAAATATAGTTATATTTATTCAACAGTGTTGATGACAACACATAAACGTTTATTTCAGCTGTAAGAAGCTATCAAATAGACGGGTGTTACAAAGGAAGACGAATCTGAAATAGATTAAAAAATACAGAGCATGTCTTTGAAAATTAGTATTACATGACACCATTTCCTCCCATCACATCACCATGACTAGAAAAAGATGCAAAGCTAATATGTCATGGGAACTGAACAAACTGAGAGAAAACTAATATTCTGACCATGAAAACAACCATCATAAATTCATGTCGGGATGAAAACACAAGTTGTGAAAATTAATTATGGAGGGATCCAAAAAAAAACTGATAGGAATGTGATAATAAGTTGAATAACATGACATTTGGTTAATTGTTTCGCAAATAAACTCAAAGAAGGGGTTGCTGGATTAAAAACATATATCAATTTCACCGGCCGCGAGGCCACTCTCCAATCCCTTCTGCCACACAGAAGTGTGTCTATTATAGGTCAAAACACACAACTGGCTCTGGGAGAAGGTGAGAAAACACTGTGAATTCAACACTTTGATGTAATGAGTGTTAAATGATGTGCTGTGGAGCAGAAAGGCCACACAGAGGCATTAGATTGTGGGTCATCTTACCCGGGAGGACTCATAGGAAGGACTGGACTCGCCACCTGGGGCCCAAGATGCTTGGTTGGTCCGCTCGTCCAAACCTGTCAGAAAAGGAGATGCACAACTCAGTCAGAAAGTCAGAGTTATTCACACAGCTTAAAGTAGATGTTAAGAAATGTGTTTTCAAACCCTCTCACACACAAACACAAAGAATGACAAAGACAACAGTGACCATTAAAACCTGTTTATGCAACTGATTGGGTTTGACAGAATATCTCCTGTTTTCCATGACATTCATTTAGAGAAAAGCCGCATCCCTTTCAACCCGTTCCTCCTGAGCTTTTGGACAGGACCTCACAGAGGTATAATCCAACATTACTTTGAGTTCCCAAAATGTTGACTTGCAGCCATTAACCAAAAGGAAGACGTCTGTCTTCATAAATGCCAGTATATGTTAAAGCGCTCAATGATCAATGACCAGAAAATTAACTACAATAACACTTTGACAAAAGAAATGGAAAACATTTTATTTGCATTCTTTTTACTTCCTTGTGACAAAAATAAGAAGAATGAATGTTATTCTTTCATGCTTTTGATACTAACAGTTTTAACAGTGAGCATAATACTGCTCAAGACACTTATCTTGATTCAAACTGATAGAAAATAAACATCTTTTGGTGACCAGGGAATTCACAAATAATTATTTGAAATTTTGCAGATAAATTCAACCAAAGGATCACACTCAATAAAGCAAAGTATTATAATTATTTGATGAAAATAAGTATCAATTAACCTTAGTTGAGTAAAGACAAAACCTGAGATTGTAAACTTCACTATAAAGCTGTTAAATTCCTCTAAATCCCACTTGTAACCTGCAAAAGGTCTCTTTTATCAAAAACAGACAGCCTTGGTTATAATTATTTCTGACTGAATATATCTTTGATTGTCATCTTATATTAAGTAGATATAGATCACAATCACACTCAAGCCACACTGCCTCCACCATCACTGGAATGTTAAGGTGATAAATAATACACAAATTTAAAAAAAATCTAATATCTTTAAAACTCACTGGTATTGAAATAATACATTTTCAAGAAGTCATCTGTTTCACTTAAAATGCATCAGGGTAATATTGGTTCATATGTTCTCAAGAGGTGAACAACAACTTTTTGATTTGATGGATGCCAAGCTAAACAGCTGAGAGCTGAAACAAGATGAAATGCATTCTGCAGATTAACAAAAACCTCTATGTTTCAAAAGTCAAGCAGATAAACACATAAATCAATAATGCCAACCAAACTGTCAAGATAGACCATCTGGCATATGTTGAAAATATCATATCTTGTGTTTAAAATCAAATTTATGTGATGCAGTCATTAACAGATATTTGAAATCTTGATTTTTCTGGCTTTTTGAAGCAATATTGTGTAGCAGTTACAACAAAAAGCCTCCAAGACAAACCCATAGTTGCAGAGCCAGGAAAACAGCTAAATGTTTTTAACTTATTGATTGTCCCTGTTGTAATTCCATCTGTCTGAGTAAATTGTAATACCATTTGTTCATTTTCAATTTCAAATAAAGAGTATCAGAAAATATGTGGATGCCTTAAAAAAAACAATTTTGTGGCCAATGAATAAAATTCATCAGTGTTACTAAGTTTCACCAGGAGGTCTCTGTTTTATCAAAGGTTCAGAAAGTTATTTGTTCCCTTCTGTTATTCAAAGAAAAAGTTAATCATACACAAGGAAAAAAAGAAGATTCAAACAGATCAATGGTGTGCGGCACAAAATCAAAGGAAAGCTAAGCAAGTCGCTAGATGTGAGGCATGAGTTTAATGCCCTGGGATTTCATAAAACTGAGTAGCACTTTTCATGGATCGCCACGGTCACTCTTCCAAAACAAACTCACAAACTGCACAGCTGAAATGCACAGAACATGTTACACTGATCAATGTTGGCCTAAACGCCAATGGGTATCTTTGGGGACGGTTATCATCATCAGGCCATTTTCAACCACCTTTCTGCAAATAACTCTCATAAGAAGCTTGAAAATCTAATCATAGACTTAACCAGAAAGTCAGTGGCATTTCTCTAACCAGAAATCATGCTCTGCTGAGCAGAGCCTTAGATAAGTTTCATCCTAACGAACACGGCCTGCGCACACTAGATTCATTTCCTCTTCTTGGGTGGCTTTATGGAAAAACTACTTGGTTAATTTGGTCTCACTTTCAGCGTGACTTTTTTCACATAAATAGCTGTGTACTTATAAAATTAGCTAATAAATGTTGTTTTATGATGATGTAATAAACAAAACTAAGCCAAAAGACCTGTGCCAGAAAGAAACCTTGTAAATTCTTCCAATTTGATAGAAATTAAGTGGTTGTGAAGTGCTATTGGTAAAAGTTAACCTGATGGGTTTATTATCAGCACCCCTATAAAAACAGCATTTAGGTGTTTAAACATGACAAAACAATTGGAGGAAAGACATCAGCCGTGTTCTAAGAGGAAAAATTTGAGATGAGTTTTAGGCAATATCCAAACAATTTGGTCCATCACTGTTTTCAAAAAGTGAAGAACACTAGCTATACTAACAGTGCCTGATCTTTACCCATTTCAAACTTTGCCACAACATTTTAAACTTTACGAGCTTTGCTGAACGGGCTAATTATTCAAGTTAGATACAGTGTTAGAAGAAAACGACTTAGCAAGCATGACTTCTTTGAATGAGTTGTTCAGAGGTGGCATCTCTCCAAAAACAACATGGCAGAAAGGCTTCAAATTGTAAAGATAAGCTGGAGAAACCCAAAGATTTTGGGAACAATGTCCTTCAGACAGAGGAGATCAAAGGGGAGATGTCTGGTTGGCCACGTCTTGGTGATAACCAAACTTCCCCCTGGTGGAGGGCCAATAACACGGACTATTTGCAGGCACCGTGTCCACTCTGACTCCTTTTTACGTCAAAGTATGTTAAAGTCAGAAGTGTGACCATCTGTTCATCCGCTAAAGTTTGGCTGAAACGACCCATTTCACCAGAAAACCTACAGCATGAGTGTCAGAAAAAAGAAAACAATCGAGGTTTCATAATGACTCAGTAAAAGTACAGACCTCAACCGGATTCAATGCTGTGGTGGGACACATATTCTCACATTTTGAAGCTTGGTACTAAAAGGGGCTTTCTTTTACACCGCGCTGTAACTGATTGGATAATTGCTTTAATAATGAGGGTAATGTAACTATACTAACATCAAGCCAACTGAGGCCTTTAACACTGACGGGTCAGTGCCCTCTGGTCCGATGGCTGTCATCTTGTCTTAATTACCATCTCCTACATTGGCTCTGGGGAATCTTCTCTTTTCAATGCACAGACAGCTAACACAGTGAGATTAATCCTTCATACACGCTATTAAAGGACAGATGCACATGTACACTGCTCAATTAAAACCTAATGAATAACAAGAATCCATTTTTCATAGTGTGCTTAAAATCCTACACCAGATAATTTTCTCTTTTTACAGTAAAAATACACACACAAACATAGTGTGCCTCCCAAAACTAAGTGGGCAGTCCCAAATGTGACCAAAAGAGCAGACAACTGTAAATGGAGGAAGCTGAGTATGCTTCATGACTTTTGAACAAAGTTTAATGCAAAACGTTTGGATTTTGGATATTGAAAAACCAGTGTTGGGAACATTGTAATGGAGGGCTGACAGAGTAAACACAGAGGCTGGCTATCATAACTGACTATTTCTTTATTAGGGTCTCTGCTTGGCCATTCATAAACAGCTGCAGCTTCCCCAAACTCCTGATTCAGTGAGAAGTCATCCAACAGAAATAGGATTTTTTTTCTCTACAAGTGAGTAAAAGGGTTTCATTCAAGGGACTCTAAATATTTCTGATTGCTGAAGTATCACTCTGGAGGAAAATAAATGTCAGCTGGTCAAAAACAATTTAAGCAGACCTAATTTTCTCATTTATCATGATTGATTTTTGTGTAAAAAAAAGGCAATCAAACTAATGCCATCTAATCACACCTCTGTATCTTCAACGTTTCTGTCATTTGTAAATTTTTTATTTTCATCAGAGCAACAGAAACAGAAAAAATTCATTCTCAAACAGGCTCCGATAAATGACAAGAAGCTGTGTGACAAAGCAGTTTTAAAATGGCTAAAAGCTGTATAGCCTTTGGAGATATTTTTACTGAAAACGCAAAGCCATAATCTTGAATACTTAAATCACACACACATGTCTGCAAAAGAAAAAATACTAAACATTTAAAGACTGTCTCTGATGACATGCAGTGTAGAACAAAAAGCAAAAAACCCAACAGATAATTTTATATTCTCCCACTATTAAGAGACTCTTAAACATCATTAAATCCACTCAGACGCACAGCTCTGCTTCTTCTATGGACAGCTGAGTTTGATTGAGAAATTCATTTAATCCAATTCGAGGACTGAATTCCTCCTGTCACTCAAAAAACAGTTGGCTGTAAATTTGAGCACAAAAGGGTGGGGAAAAAAGCTCACAGTCTTTCTGGCATCTTTAAACACATGAAAAATGTGTGTCATTAAATATTTTTATTAATCTCATCCTCTGAACAAATAATGGCAAGGCTCCTGTGAGCCCAAAGAAATGTTATTATTCCTACATACAAAGACAAGGTCTGATTTAACCTGGATAATAACCCCTTTTTGTTCTTTGAGCAAAATCTCTACTGCTCTATAACAGGTGCAAAAATCCTTAGAGTTACAGCAAACTGTCATCACAGAGTGCCAGAAACAAGGTCCAAAGAGCTGACCACTCCTACACAAGACAAAGCTTATGTTTTCACCAGATACATGTCTCAAAAGCAACCCCAAAAAGCTCTCGGTTCAAAAGCACAACCGGTCCTTCTAAAGGGGCATTCCTGAAAAGGCTGAGACCTGGAATTAACAGATGGAGTTTTGGAAAGCACAGAGTAATAATAAAGTTAGGGAAGACAAACCCCGTTGGTTTTATACCTCTCCTTCAGTGGTATGAAATGCTCAAACAAACCAGTTACGTGTCTTTGCCCAAAGAAATCCCAATACTAACCAGGGTGTTTGTTTCTTACAATAATCCAGTCAGGATTCACCTCCACACCATGTTCAAATATGAATAAAACCATAATGTTACGATCACGTGGATTTCTTTACGAACACGGTGAGAAGGCAGGACGCCATCTGTCACGCCTAATAAAAAACCAATCTGTATCCCAGCAAATTAAACAGATAAGAACCCCTTCAGGTGAACTTACAGTAGCGCCATCTGTCATAAATGAAACCTTTAAAACATTTTACTCTGAACTATACACGTCACAATCCCCATCTGACAAAACAAACATGATGAGCTTTCTGGATAACCTAAATTTTCCACCCATCTCCACTATCCAGAAGAGCGAAATGGATCGACCCTTAGAATTTCGTGAAATAGCAAACTCAATTAAACTAATGCAGAGTGGCAAGGCCCCTGGCCCTGATGGTTACCCTATAGAGTTTTATAAAAAATTTGCTGACAAATTAAATCCTCTTCTCTTAGACATGTTCAATGACTCTATTGACCGGGGAGCTCTGCCTCAAACTCTCACCGAGGCATCAATAACCTTATTACTAAAGCCGGGTAAAGAAGATTCCGAGTGTAGCTCTTACCGTCCTATCTCCCTTTTAAATGCTGATTATAAGATTTTAGCTAAGGCACTGGCCCTACGTCTTGAATCAGTTATGCCGAGCATCATCTCACCCGACCAAACCGGGTTTATGAAAAACAGACACTCTTTTTCCAACGTCCGCCGCCTCCTCGACCTGCTTTTCTCTCCCTCAGCCGGGGAGACGCCAGAAGTGGTGGTCTCCCTGGATGCAGAGAAGGCTTTCGATAGGGTGGAGTGGAGTTATTTATTAGAGGTCTTAAAGAGGTTTTGCATTGGGTCTAGGTATACATCTTGGATTTCACTCTTATACTCTTCCCCTAAAGCATCTGTAAGCACTAATGGGATGAAATCCCAATATTTCACACTGAACCGAGGAACGCGCCAAGGGTGCCCTCTGAGCCCACTGTTGTTTGCTGTGGCAATCGAACCTTTATCTATCGCACTTAAATCGGCCAGTTTTAATAAAGGAATCCACAGATGTGGTTTGGAGCATACATTGTCCTTGTATGCAGACGATTTACTATTGTTTATTTCTGATCCAGTAACCACCATCCCCAAAATAACTGAATTGCTAAACCGCTTTGGAGCATTTTCTGGCTATAAGTTGAACTTCTCAAAAAGCGAATGTTTTCCTGTAAATAACTTAGCCCTTGGGATCCCTGATGTGTGTTTTCCATTTAAAGTGTCTAAAAGCAGCTTTAAATATTTAGGAGTGCATATCTGCCGCAAGATGTCAGATCTCTACAAGAACAATTTTCAACCCCTAATTGAAAAGATTAAATCAGATCTGGAAAGATGGTGTAATTTGCACATAACTATAGCGGGAAGGGTAAATTGCATCAAAATGAACGTGCTTCCACGTTTTCTCTATCTTTTCCAATGCTTGCCCATCTTTTTACCCAATTCCTTTTTTCGTGCTATCAATAGGCTAATTTCATCTTTTATATGGAAAGGCAAGACTGCCAGAATAAGGAGAGAGCTTTTACAAAGGCATAAGTCTGTTGGTGGTCTGTCACTCCCTGATCTGAGACTCTACTATTGGGCAGCCAACATAAACAAAATGACTCTCTGGATCCGCGAACCTGAACTAATCTGGTGTAAACTAGAAGCTAAATCCTGTTCTACGTCATTCCTAGCTCTACTTACACAAATATTGCCCTTTCGACCATCCCAACATACATGTAACCCAATTGTTGTCTCCACCCTTAAAATTTGGCTCCAATTCAGACGTACTTTTGGACTCATAGGACTGTCCAATCACAGCCCCATACACAACAACCATCTCTTCCTCCCTCCTAGTATTGATAATGCCTTTTCTCTATGGCAGAGATCTGGCCTTGTTAGGCTAAGTGATCTATATATGAACAATGTCTTTGCTAGCTTCAACGAATTATGTGGAAAATTCAACCTCCCCAAATCTCACCTATTCCGATACTTCCAAATTCGTAACTTTGTTAAATCCAATAGCACCTATTTCCCTAATACCCCACCTAACTCAGTAATTGACTCAATTTTGGACATCTCCACAAATCAGAAAGGCCTTATCTCCAAAATATACACCTTAATATCCCATCTCAAAGAGACATCTCTTGATAAAATCAAGAAAGACTGGGAACAAGAACTTGGTAGGGCTATTGATGACGGTGTCTGGGACTCAGCATTAACTCGTGTAAATAATAGTACATCTTGCTCCAGGCTTAATCTCATACAATTTAAGGTTGTCCATCGTATTTATTTTACCAATTCTAAACTTTCCAAAATGTATCCCAATGTCTCAGACGCATGCAATAGATGTCACATGTCACCAGCAAACATGACTCACATGTTTTGGTCCTGTCCCCGTCTGCAAAATTACTGGACGGCTGTTTTCAAACATCTTGGAGAAGCACTAAATGTGAAATTGACACCTTGTCCTGAATTGGCTATTTTTGGAATAATAGACCATCAAAAAATTAGGAAAAAGTTCAAGGATATTATTGCTTTTGCTACTCTATTAGCGCGGAGAAGAATTCTGTTGGAATGGAAGGCACCAGGGGCCCCAAAAGCTTCCCTGTGGCTCAAAGACCTCATGCTGCACATAGACCTGGAGAAAATTAAATATGATCTGAGGGGGGCCCCAGGAAAATTTGATTTAGTTTGGGGCTGCATGATTAGCTACATAGCTAGATTAAAGACACTGCAGGACGGGTGAGGTGTCCACTTTTGAAACCTGACTTTTGATTGCATTTTCTTTTCCTCCCTGCTTCATCTCGGCCCATTGAAAAATTTTACTGCTCAGTTTTGTTTTGTGGTGTTTTCTGTTTATTTATTTGTGTTGTACTTGCTGTTCTCTCTTTTTTAAATTGTCTATATACTTTAAAAAAAAAATTTTTTTTTAATTATTATTCGCATGTTCTTGTACAGTAAGAAGGAAAGATGTGTGTTATTACTGATTTGTAGCATAATTCTGTAGGATTGGGGAGGGCTGGGGAAGGGAAGGGAATGAGGGGTTGTTTTTGTAAAAATGAAAAAAAATCATTTTCATTATTTTCATTGTTTGTACTTGACCTTGTCACATGAATAAAAACATTAAAAAAAAAAAAAAAAAAATATGAATAAAACCAGAAAACACTTAAAGTGAAAACACCTCTGTTTGAAAACAGCCACACATCAAGTGACACTATCGGCTAAGAAACAAAGGGATCTTGCACGACAGCATCTGACTTGACAAATATTCTATCCAAGTGAGGACTCCTTCTATATCTCAAGGCTGATCTATGGGGCAGACTGTTCACACTGCAACCTGAAAATTGGGACATTACCAAGTAAGAAGGCTTATCAGCCTCAATCTGAACTGCTTTTGAAACAGCTTCCACACATGGTTCGCCTCTCAATTATAATCACTTGTTATAGGCGGAGAAAAGCGGAACTTGGTGACAATTCTGAAGTTTGCATCTAGCATTAAAAAAATCAAATCGATCCCTATGACTGAATCAGTCTTCTTTCAACAGATCTGTGGTGTGGCTGTCTAATATGTTCAGGTGAAGGAATTAAAAGTTTTAATTCTGTTAATGAGTAACTTCCAATATATGATCTGATGGTTGTTAGCATTGATTTGTGGTGACTTCTTTGTTTTAAGCCCAAATCTAAACACAAACTGAGGTAGCAGTGATGCTCTGTGTAGCTGCGGTCAGCACTGAAAAATATCCATCTGGCTTCACAAACCAACCAGCAGCTAGTCACGGCCGAGAAATGTACTACTGTACGGCACTAAATAAAAATTACCCATTTCACGACAGCCATTCACAGCCCGCTAAAGAGTCAATGGCCTCATCAGATTTGCATCCTCAACACAGCTGGAGGGGAGAAATTATGAATCTCTGTTAGAGCCACTTTGGCTATTTTTTCCCTCAATCCATCTTTCTCTGGCACAATTTTGAAGAGTCTCGCCTGTCCCACTCTACCTCAATTATCTGGCAATGCCCAGCTGAGATGCAATAATCCAAACCCTCATTCCCTGCAATTTCCACACTTGTGTCTGCACACTCACTTGCCTTAAGTTCACCATCACTTATATAGGTGCCTCTTCCTCCACCTTGAGGATCTGAGAGATGTGAGCTCTGACTGTAGGCTGAAGGGAGGAGGGATTTACCCAATGCACGCCCTCAGTAGAGGAATAGTTCAATCAAAATGTATTCAAATTCAGTCTAATTTTAGCCTCCTGAAATCAGGAGCCACTCCAGAGGTAAAGTGCTGCAGAAACACACGGATTGAATGTATTTGGTTGCTTTTGAATCATTAACACACTGAGAATATATATATAGAAATAAAAACAAAAATATTTCCTCTATGTTACAAAAAAAAGCTAAACCAACAAAATTTTATATGATTTATATTGTGCTTTTTCCATTCAGTCATTCTAGTCTACAAAGTGTAACTTAATGAAACCCAAACAGATCCTCATCATCAACACTTCCCTGCACTGCATCCACATCATCTGTCATCTTCACAAATGGAAGAGGAATATCAGGGGACAAAAAGTAATCAGGTTATGAATCCTTTTTCCAGAACCAGGATAACTGACAAAAAACAAAACATGTGAACATGATACACGCACATATTTTTTACCAGAGATCAAAATATTCTCCATTATAGATTACAAATAAAACAATAAAAACTCAAGTCATTATTTCTAACAAAAAAAAAGGTTTTTGCAAACTTCGTACCATTTTTGTTATCCAGATGGCAAAATCAGTGGTTTCCAAATGATGAAGTTTGTCATCAGACAACACACTCCATTGACAAAGAGCTCTGGCTGTAACACACAGCCCTCTGGACTCCTGACAGGCTCCACTTCTTTTTTGTTCCAACAACAAAAAAATTGTTGCTGGCATTGGTCTATTTTGGAAGTCACAGAGTGCATGGCTTATAGGTGGCTGAGTCCACGATGCCCGAATGTTACTGTGTTGCGTCGTCGTAAGGCAGAGTTATTCCCTCTGTCTCAGAGAGAACACACTTGCTATATGTACTACAATAAATTCAGCCTTATTCTAAAACATCCTGCAAGTTCTTCTAAAAACCAATCAAACTTCATAAATGGATACTCCGACTGATCGGTACACTTATCAACCACAGTTAAAACATATGCGGGATGAAAACTGATTATAGGGTGCACATGTAAGAAGATGTGCATTTACTTTCAATTCCAGCGCAAATTATACCAGCTTCTTTGTTATTTGTGTTACTGAAGAGTGCACACAAACAACATCCTTCCCACTTGAATGATTAGGTATTATAAAAATCACCCTCACAGCTCCACAGTTCATGTGTGACAGCTCTGTTGTTGTTTTTCTGTCACTCCAACTCAATGTGTGTCTTTCGTTTCCCAGATAACTGACGACAACGAGGCTTTGTGGACGCACACAAGACATGCTTTCAGGAAACATAATGCTTGATTGTTGACTTTCTCTAGTGGCACATCAGACAATAGATGTGCTTCAGATTAATGTCCTCTAGCATTTATAGTCATAGGAAGCAATCCAGAAGCAAGCGATCTGAACCAAACCATGAGATCATTTGAATGCTCACATATAAAGGGAGGGAAAACAGTGAATGTTTGTGTGAGAAAGCCTTTCAACAGGGTGGAGCAATTCCAATGCATGTCTTTCTCACGGAAAAGAAAGCCAGTACAGAAGAAATATTTAGGAAAACATCTCATCACTTCATTCAACTGAACTGCATCTCACTTACAGCTCTCCCACCCGGGAATACTGACACAAATTTTTCTTCACCACACCTCCCAGCAAATCCTCTCCAATAATTGTCGCTGTTAACATTTCCTGCACTTGACAACACCTGATCATAACAGCCAAAACAGGCCTGCTGAATGCATTATTCATGCATCCGACAGGAACACAAAACGTGATTAACATTCACCGCACTACACCATAATGTAATCAGATCAATAAAACATTTACACATGTCTGTGGCCTAAACTGTGCTTTGTTCGACATCTTTACTGCAGCGCCGCTCCACAATTCCAGGTGGAGAGCTCAGGTTTCAAGCACCAGATGTGAAGAGCGTGCACAGGCATCACACAGAGCAGGGAGAGGAATTACATCCAAGACTGTAAACTAAGACATGTTTCCTTCAGCACCCATTCATAAATAAGCCCACGGACTATTCAAACAACGTTAGAGGACAGGAAACTATTGATCTGCTTGTGTAGGAGTAAAAAAATAGCACACATCAGAGGGTTTTCACACCGAGGTTTGAGGGATTAGGTCCTACCTGATGCACTGAACTGACTGCTTCCAAGTGTGGTTGGCCTGTTCTTCCCTCCCCCTACAGGTGGAGAGAACATCTGAGGAGGGGAATATTGACACATAAGAAAAAGGTTCAGCAAAGACTGTGCTGTGTAAAAGCAGACATTAAGCTAATCAGCTGCAATCAGACAGAGAGCTAATGGTTTATGACATATTAATGTTACTGCAATCATGAATCATTTATAACACCAAACAATCTCTTTTCACCTGTATAAACACCGTTGGGTGAACTTGCCAGAAATCACATATTTGCATATATGATCGTAGGTAGAAATTCAACCCCATTATCTTGTAGATTTTCCTTCATCAGCTATATTATAATGGCCTTTTCTGAGTAATTAGCACTGCCTGCAGTTAATCAGGAGGTGCTTTAAATATTGGACTGACAGCTTTAAGAGGAAAATCTGCTAAACCAAATAGGAGAAACCAAGCCAAATAAGGGAACATAAGCACATAAGGACATATTATGAAGAAACGCCCAAAACATAGAATGCACTCCGTGAAAAAATCTGCAGCAAAAAGCTGGTGGTCTAAAATTCAAATACCAATCAAATGAGAATTATGGCTCCACCAGTTAACATTTGCTTTAGGGTTTGAAAAGACAAGTGACACTTTAAACAAAAACTGAGCCTACATTAAGACATTTCTGTACCTCATCTAGCAACTGTAGTCTTTTAGTGCAATTTCATGAGCATTATCAAACCATATTCAAACTGACAGTCCCATAAAATGACCTGAGATGGACGTTTATGGCACTAATGGCACTAGTGTTAATGGTCTACAAGACAATAATATGATCATAAAAGCCATGCTTCTAAAATCACATAAGTGAACAGTAATAAGAATGTATATGTTTGTGGTGGTGTGGTCCGTGTGATCCCCACATCTCTGAGCTTTGAGGGCTGAAATGCACCAACAGGTAAGGCTGAAAAAAAACAGTGAATCCTACCGCACTGAAATCCAGCAGGTCACTTAATTCCTTGTCAGTTCCGAGAGCGGCAATCCGCTGCTGAGGATTCATCCTGGCGATCTAGAAAACTGGAAGATAAAAAAAACACACACACAGACACAGTCCATCAGGTCTCACATTAACAGCGGGGACCGGTTCCTGAGGAAATGACTGCCACGGGAGGCATTTGTTATGGATGCGGTATAAAGAACAGCGCTGTCAAGTAAAGTTGGCACTGGGTCTCTATCGTTTTGGGAAACTGACACAGCGGGCTGATTAAAAGTAATCAAATGAAGAATGTCATTCTGTTGGCACACCGTAAGTTTTTATTTCTCCTCCACGGGCTGATGAGGAGAGGTCAGCGCGTGGATGTGAGCGCTCTGAATGGATGTCTGCGCGTGCGAAAGCGCGAGACGCAGCATCGGTTAGTGCGGGATCCTGTTTTACTCTGGAATAATAACGCCGCATCACACGGGGCAGACGCCTACGAGAGCCGCCGACTAGGCTGTCACGGCCCGTGTCGGTGTCAGTGATTTATGAGGCTCGTTTTTCCACGCACGGCGGCTTGCTGGTGGCACCTAACGTGACGGAGCTAGCTGGCTAGCGCTAGCTGCAGTAACTCGTTCATGTGGGTTTCAAACAGCTAGCGAGCTGCAGGCGACGGCGGCGGGTTTAGGCTTTGTGGGCAGTAGTGCGGAGAGGACAGTCCAGGCACTCAAACGTAAAGTTCAGACCGGTTCGAGACGGGCAACACAGGCAAACAAATACTGCAAGTGACAACCTCAGTCTCCGCTTCCAGAAAAACAAAACGCAATGATGGTCTCTCTCAACTCCCAACTTCTTTCACGGGGTCCGAAAGCTTCTGGCAAACTCCCACCCATATCTTACCTGTTTTCCGATTCAAATCCCGACTAGGGTGATCTGGTGAACAGCCGCTGGCAGACAAAACGCCTCCAAAGAGCGAAATGTGGGCTTAAACAACAACACGAGGGATAAAAATCCTCTATATATATCAGTTACGAGTTTCCCTTAGGCAGACATTTTTGCTTTGCAAAAGCCTCAGCACAACGATGACAGTGGTTATTGTATCCCTCCGCCGAGCACGGCGCTGGTCCCACACAGCGGGAGATGCTGCGGGAGTCTGCACGCGCTGTCCTGCCTCACACTGATGCTCGGCGGGTTCCTCTCCGCGTGAAGCCCCCCCCCCCCTTCAGTGCACCGAAACCCCACTGAAATGTTGCATACCCAAATAGGAAAGATAACATACCTATCTTACCGCTAAATCTGTTACATCATTAAACCATTGCCCCACTATTTCTGACGACACTTCATTGGTTCATCTTTCCAGTGCAATTTAAAGGATAACATTGACAATAACGAATGGCCAACTCGGAAAAGTACCACAGGTTTATCACGTGAGCAACACTATCTCATATTCACTTAAATTGATTTGACCGCTTGCTCAGACAAATCAAAGGGTCTCTGAACCTCACGAACTGCATAACCTTTGACAAAACCCACTTTTGTACAATAAATGTCGCTCAGATTATTAACACCTCTTTGGTAAAAGGTATTATCATTAAATGGCAGCACTAAACTATGTGTGTTCCAATGGTTTAGCTTCCAGGAATCACTTCCATTGAAATAAGATAACCATTTTTGGTTATTGTTAAAAATGTTTGGTTTCTTTGCTGAGTTCCTCCTTTTTTGTGCCAAAAGTAATTTCATTTATAGTTTTCCTTTTAGTTAAATGTCCTTGTGGAAACCAGGGAGCTTGAATAAAGTCCCAAAGGTGTTTTCAACTGATGTCAAACACGGCCAAAATGTTTCCAACGGCACATTGGGTTGGGATGTTACACTCTTACTTTAAAGAGTGAAAACCGGAAGCGCTACTCCGGCCGGCGGAAATCAGGCGGGTATTTAAAAACTAGCCATTTACTTATTGTCAGCCTTACCTGTTTGCATGGAAATGCTAAAGCAAAATATCATTAACGAATTACCAAAAAGCAAGTTAAAACCATACAAAAAAAAACTGTCGTAAATCCGATATCAACTACACTCACCAAAAAGAGGAACGTTTTTTAAAATTGAGAGTAATGTCACTATCCATGTCTGTTTTGCCACGTGAAATGTAGGTTGATAAGAATAAAAGGTCATTTTTACTATCTATAACGGTTATGTTTTAATTAGTCATAGTTTGTTAGACCTCTCATATATTACAGATCTGTAACACTTCTGAACTACTTTGGGAAATGCAGTTAAACCAAAATATTACGAATAAACTAGTTCAACGATTTGCTTGATAATGATATCTAAACATTGGTGTTCCCACTTAGTCTCGTTTTTCAAGCAATTATTTCAGCCGTCGTGAATATAAAAGATAAAAACCCTGCTGGAATGTGAATGAATATCCTACTTTTAATTTAAAACCGGTATGGATGAGAAATGTCAAAGACATTAAATTAGGATTTCGTTTGTCTGCAGGTGAAACACGTGACCACACCAAGGATGTAACTTCGGTACCGTTATTTTACATAGTTAACATGAAAGGGTTGTTATGTGCAGACAAAACAGCATTTAACATGAAGTGACGAAAATACAAAATATTAAACGGTCTTTAGCGATATATTCCGCAAGGCTAAACTCTGCAGCGCGTTCATGCTCATATTGGAACTACTTTTCCTTCCGCGCAGAGGTCAAGTTGGGTTAATAGCAAAGGCAGGAGGTGTCATAAATGAAGACATCGAGCTCAGTGAGGAGTAATGTGCCTCTCGTTTTTTGCTTTTATTAGCATGTTACATCACACGTTTTCCAAGGACTAGTGCTTAAAGTATGGTAGATTCCACTTTAATTAAACAATGTAGAGTTCAAGTTCCAATGCATAACACAATCAAAGATCTTACAGTTTACCATTCACTTTCCATTTGCTTGGTGACAAAAATTGGAGATTTGTTTTCAAAGTCACCAAATGGTTTTGTAGTTTTGCCCACCTCTACACTTTTCAGGTCACTAAGTAGTGTACCAATGCATAAACTACAAAACTATGCATTTAATTCAGATTATTTTTATATTTCTAGTGGAAGATTTGAATAATACCCATCAGTCTTTGCAGACGTTTGAGCCCAGAAGCATGGCATGCATTCATAATTATGGTGGCCACGTTGAGGATTAAACTGCAAACAAAGATGAGGTGTAACTTTTGCATTCCATCGTTCACATGTGCATTTCAGTGATTCATTTAAAGACCAATTTTAAGACTTTGCCGTTTTTGTTGTGTGGAGGATGAGGTGTAAGCAGTGAAGGTCGATTTCAGAAAGAAATGTGAGAAACGCAACGCTCACCTAAGCTTCCCTGACAAGTTGTTTGATCTGGTTTTGTTTTTTTTACCCTTTGCTTTTTAACAAAATGCATTTTTAACCCTGTTAAAATATCTGGTTCTGAATCAGTCATGTAGAACATTTGATTGGTTTTCTGTCAGTGAACATAGGTGAGGCTTTGGTCTCTCAACATTACATTTTAGTTTCTAAAATAAGTTCAAAACACTTTTGTGACTGTTTCTTTTCTTTTCTAATGTTTTCACCTTTTATTTAACTCCTTTAAGAGGGTGGTTCTTTTTTTAGAGAATGCATTTCAATGAAAATCCAGTTGGGTGTGGGTGTTAAACTGAATGACGTTGCACGAGGTGAGCTTTGACTGAAACCATGACTGAAAGAGGAAGGTGCAGGAAACTTCATTTTAAAAAAGCATGAGGGTTTGGGGCAGACATGGGCGGTTAGTTAGCTTCTCTGTGTTTGAAGATAACTGCAATCTTTGTTTCATATTGAATGTAAATGTTGAGAAATCACAGTTTGCAATCAAGAAGTTCAAATCTGTTTCAGTGAGCTAAATTAACCTACCGGTAAGTCCTCCCCACAGTCTTAGATATGGATTAGATAGGGTAAATTAATTAATAGAGCAAACAATTCAAAGATTTATTAAACTGGACAGAAAACATATTGTGTGGAAGGTGAGACCATGGTAGAATCTTTTTGGGGGAGAGAGGATTTATTTGCAGGATTTATTAACTTCACAGTGAACATGTAAGACTACCTGTGAAAGAAATCCTGAAAGCAAAGTAAAACCATAGAGATAGAACATTTGATTTTATATTTTCATGTTTATTTTTCCATTCTTTTAACAACTGATCTTGTTTTTTGTTTTTTATGTGTACAATTTTTAAAAACTGTGTATGAAACAGCAGAGGAAGGCATCTTAAAACCCTTATTTGAATGTGGAGGAAGAAGCAGGGGTGTTGGTGCATCACAAGGGGTTACCACTCCCATCCAGTCTACATGTTTTCTTATAAAAATCTTTTTCTACCTTAAGCCTCAGTAAACTTAATCCCAGAACCACCAACTCGTTTGGCCCAGTTCACTCTGATTCATTTAAACTAAATCGACATCAGACACAGAGAAGAATGGCCCATTTTAGAATGGTGTGAGCTCCACGATGAGGGGTGGGTGAGTGTTTGTTTTTAGTTGTTGCAAAATTCTGTACAAATACCTAGAGTACATTAGTAATGAAGAACACTCCTCAAGGACGAGAAGCCTCATGCAGCAGATGTGACCTTCACAAGGCCCCAACTTTAATATCTTGTAGCCATGTTGAGATCAAAGCTGAAGTATGTAATGTTTGGTGACTGTTCAAAGCTCCTCACATGAGCCTTCACTTTCAAGTGTGCTGGAGAAACAAAAGGAACTGCTACAAGTCTAGATATGAAACCGTGGAGTTGGGTTTAGGTTGTTCATCCTGGTACAAAGTTAGTAATGGAGTATACAGGAAAGAAGACATTTGCTGTCTTTTGAATGTAATTATGATTTGCTCGATTGTTGGATTCTTATTATAGCGGTTCTGAAATTTGTTTTTAATTTATGCCAATTAATGACACTGAATGCTGCAAATTTGAAACTATAGAGAAGTCTGGGAGATATCCAAAAGACGCTTTACTGGTTATTTTAAATATGGAGGCTTTTCAGATTGTACTTACAAAGTTGCGGACAGATAATGTAGGACCAAGAGAGAAAATAACTTAAACATACGTCAACACACATTTTCTATTCTCAGTGAAAATGAAACTTACATTAAGCAACGACAGGATAGCTGCAGATTATAGCAGATACTTGAAATGTGTGTTCTTTCTGAGGAAAGCAGGGGAATACCAAAACTCTCCAATATTCAACTATAAAAATACCTCTAAACATATTGCTCAGAGGAAACTGCTTAGTTTCCATCAATCTTCAGCTTTTTGTCATGTCCTTTGGTTCACTTTATGTCATGTTTTGACATGCAAAGAAGGTGAATCAAAACCAAAATGTCATGCATAGGAAATAATGTCTTTTATCTTTGAGTTGTGGTGAACATGAGGGAGGCACATCTATATTACATTATTAATTCCAGACTGCCACCTGTTGGACAAAGTCAGATTGCCCAAACTTCTCCAGGTGGCCCCCACTCAGAGAAAACATCCTGAAAAAGCAGGTTAAAAACAGTCATTTTACATTTCTATCATCAGTATTGAATGGATATTTTCTAATGAATATGACTTACTGAATAAAATTATTTCTAAAATATTTCACAGTACATTAATACCTTTGAAATTTTCTGAAAGTATACCTATTCCATAATTATGTTCGTGCATTTAGCAGACGCTTTTATCCAAAGCAACTTACAAAGTAGACACGATGTAACAGTTATCACCAATTTGACAATAAGTTCTTAAGAGGAAAATCCCTAGTCAGAATCAGTGGTGACAGCAAAGAGATAGAGGAAAGTGTAGAATAGTAAAGTAGTAGAGGGGGTATAAAGGTTTGGGGAAGGGTTAAGATAGTTAATAATTATTAAGGTATTTAATCTATCCATCCATCCATTAATTTTCATTACCGCTTATTCCCCAATGGGGTCACGGGGGGTCATTTCAGGATATAAGTTGATATAAGACTATTTTTGCAAATGTGTCCAAGAAGTGAGAAGTTTATCAAGAATGGTTACACAGATGCATCATACACAGAGCAATGTTCTTGACAAAATGTTTGCACATGTTGATTGAAGTGTGATAGAATAATAAGATCCACTTGACCTCAGGAAATATAACTTTTCAAGTTATTCTGAGGACATATTGAGTTTTTAAAAAAAAGGACGCACAAACTGCTCCTTCTTTGGTAATTTCATGTTGATACATAGGTTACTGATGCTCCAAATAAATTAAATTAATTTTGTTTATGAAAACCCTGTACCATTTCTTAACAGACATCTTTATCACAGAATGTCATAAAATGGGTCTGTGCTTTAGGTACTTTTTAAAAATACAATCTTACCACATACTCACATGAAGAGAATTCCATGCATATTATGTGATAAAAAATATAAACTTTGAAAGATCAACTCCTGTTTCTATATTTATTCACACAAATCATAGCTAAGATATCTGGATGAAGTTAATCAAGCCTTACCTGCTAGAGGACTAAGAAATTGTGGTAAGGAATTTTAATTTTTCCTTCAATAGGGATATTCTGGTGTTAATGCACCTCCATACTTGGTAATTACATAACATTGGTAATTTGTTTTGTTTTAAGTGAAATTGTACATAATTTACATAATTTATTTAGTTTTGACTCTTCTTGAACTTAGATTGCATCACAAAACACAAATGGTTCCATGCAGTTTGATGCTGCTTCATGTGGATTTGATAGATCAGTCTCACCACAGGATAAAATGAAAATTATTCTCAGTATCAGTCATCTGATAGATGGAACTGCGGTCTGAGAGCAGCTCACCTCTTTTTCAAAGACAAATAAAGTCACATTACAGTCAAAAACAGTCTTTCAGTTTCATTTCACCTCAGTCAGAGATGGAAATATGTCATTCATTTTATGGTAAATTCAAAACGGATGTTCTACAGGATCAAACTTACTTTCACGACTCATCAAACTTATTTTTGTTCACGACTACCGATCTACTGTTTTTACGAATAGATATTTGCAATTTACTTTATTCAAATCCTCTCACATTGATTATGAAGTTTGTGATGGACACCATAAAATGAAATACGAATTCAGATTTTATTGTGTTCAATGTAGTAATAATAATGTCAATAGATGACAATTAAGGATCCTGAGATTCCACAAAAAAGTAATTTGTCAGCAACCCTGAATTTCTGTTGCTGAAATAATTTAACAAAGGATGGATGCTCTGAGCAATTAAGAAGCAGAAGTCTTACACTGAACTGTAATGGGAAAATGTTTCACTTTACAATATTGGCCCCCTTGTCTTCCAGGAATGAATTCAAAGTGATGTGGAAAGTTACCAGAGAGAAATTAAGAAAGTGATTATACATATATTGATTTCCCTAACAATAAGTACGTACATACATACATACATACATACATACATACATACATACATACATAC